CGAATTGAACCGCTATTCAAAGGGCTGCTAGGTCACAGGCGGACGACGCTACTGTCTTGAAGATGAATGATTCATGAGGCGGCGGCATTATGTATCCGGAGGGACAGCATGGGTGACGCCAGCCGCTGGAGGTCGTCTCGTGATCGCTATCTTTGTCACGACCTCAGCTGCCGGCCTCCCGAGGGCACTGGTAACCCAGCACGCTCTCTGATGGATCGAAGTTTTACCTGACTGGTCCTGAGACTGGTCCGAGTCTGACCTTGCTGACCCCAGCCTGTCCTTCGGGCTTGGCTACAGGGGCATAACTTGAGCCGGGCATTTCAAAGGTTTTCATGTTTCCCTTTGGCCGACCTGACCCTACATAGAGTTGCCCCCGCTATGCAATCGTCATTATTCAACATAATGAGCACCATGGAAATCAACACCACTCACTCTCCTGTCTCATAGTCACCCACATCCTCTAGGTCACCTCCTTCGTCACTCACATCCACTGGACTACATCCACTGTCTGCAGTTGACCACATCCACATCCACCCCCTCCACCTCCGCGTCCGCCGGGCCGGTCGCGGTGGCCGCTGCCTTCCGCATTGTTTTCCGTTATTAGCGGCACGGCGCCAGTCTGCTGTTCCGCGTTCACAAATGACCTCCTGCCGCGCCGCACGTGCTAACGACACCGACACGAGCTGCCAAACGACGCGCTGGGCACAGTGAGCCTCCGTGAGCAGGAAAACGACCATATTGTAAAGTTTGTGGAAGACACTTCACCATGGTCAAGTCGTTATTTATTGCATTGGTCGTTGGGCGTTCTTCTCATGGGCAGGTTTATGACAAATGTTTCTTACCGTAGGAGTGTACGTTACCTGGTTTGTTCAACGGTCGTGTGCCGGCCGGCTGCAGTGGGTCGAGCCGGCCTGACACGTACCGTTTGAACACCCACCGTTAGCTGTCGACTGCGCCCGGTGGAGCGTGAACCGTCGCCCCGCCATGCGCTGACGTCGGGAACTCGAGATACTGCATCGGTACCCGGGGCCCAGAGATCCTGTATCACATTTTAGTATGGAGCCTCAAGACACCAGGACGTGTGACGTTTTGGGATTGTTCAAAATAGAAACGCCACCGATAACCGTCTCTTGTTTGATGGTCGAGACCGAGACGTGTTTCGCTTTAACTAACACTTTTTAAGAATACTGTCGATATTTTCGTCTGCATAATAACAAGTATGAGCAGCTGCTTTTGGTCATAGGGGCCTCAAGGGAGGACCCGCTGTTCAGCAGCTGCTTTTGGTCGTAGGGGCTCCAGTGACGGACCCGCTGTTCGGAGGTGTGCAGATAGCGGGAAGAGTCCCTGACCCTCCTGTGCTGGCGGCGCTCTGCCTTTGATCACCGCTCTGGGAGGTGACGAGCAATACGGGTCTTAGTGGGACGACGCCCTCTGCAAGATATGCAAATGGAGAATTTAACACTCCTCGGGGGTCTTGTGACCTCATCAAACCAAGCACCATGTATGGAGGGTAGCCTCTGAGAGATCACTCCTCCCCTGCTCGTGGTGGCTCCCTGCGACCCTCCCGACTCCCGAACGCCTTCCGTGCACGTCACAGGGGTGAGTCGAGACCCGGTGTTGCTCAACGGCTTTCTCCAGCGGCGGCGGGGCTGGTGAATCGCAACGCCTGCCGGAAGGAGGCGGCGGCACCGGTCAGGGGTGCTGTTTTTGTGTCCTTTGTGCGCGCCGGCCGCCGTGGACAGCTGGATTCACATGCGGGCTCAGGAGGAGCGGGCTGGCGGAGCAGGTGGGGTCGGTGTGAGCAGCGCTCGGCACGAACGGGCACCTGGCGCCGTGCGCTCAGCACGTGGCGTGGCCCCGTGCCAGGAGCCGCCTGTCCGTCTCCTCCGCGGCCACCTGCTCGCACCGCGGTCCGCAGTCCGGCCCGTCCCACCTCACCCCGTCCCATCGCGTCCCATCCCTGTCCCATCGCGTCCCATCCCTGTCCCGTCCCGTCCCATCCCTGTCCCGTCCCGTGCCGCCCCGCCTGGCACGCCAATATGCACCGGCCGATGTCAGCGCCGGGCGAGAAGTGACGCGGCCCTCACAGACGCTGATCTCATGCGGCCGACCCATGCAGCAGGCACGGCAGTAAAACCGGTCGTCCTGACCCGCAGCCGCCTCCCCCCGGCTTTGTTGCATGGTTGCAGAAGCACAGCTCAGTACTGGAGGTCAGAGGGAAACCACAAAGCTCGGTGGATTTCAGCACCACAAGCGCAGATTGAAACGGTTCTTGCGTCAGAACTACGATGAATTTTGAATTTCGCGGCCCTGGTGGCGCAGTTGGTAAGGCGTCAGCCCGCGGTGCGGGAGGTTCCGGGTTCGATCCCCGGTGGCGCCCGTTCCGCGGGCGTCGTCCCCAGCTGTGTCATCAGGAGTGGGGTGGGCTCCCACATTAGCCGTAGCCTAGGGGGGAGGGGTACCTTCCTGTAAATGGGCAAAACCGGCCCGTTGGAAGGGTGACGAATAAAAAAAAAAATATTACTTTTCTCACGCTTTGTGGATCTTAAACGCTTGCTCGGAATGAAACGCTATGAATTCCAAGTAAGATACGTAGCTAGTTTTCCAGGAACTTAAAACATTTATCAGAATTACTTCGCAACTGCAGCAATGTTCTGCTTCCGCGCAGAACGCACGAGACTATACTATACCAACGTCAGACGGAAATGCTCCCTCTCCTGCGCCTTACATAAGCCACAGCCGCGTCTAAGAAGCTTATTACCACAACGAGCCACCGCCCAACGACCCAGTCAGGCTAACAAGCTCCGCCGCAAGCTCCTGATAGCAACGAGTGCGTCTCGGTGAACACTGTCGCCGGGCCGGGCAGTGCCGCCGGCTGACGGCTGCTGGACCGGCAGCTGCACGCGGCGGGCCGGGCCGCACCCGGCTCCGGTCGGCGCCCAGTCTCCGGGAGCTGGGCCGACCGTTCTGCCGAACTTACCCATCGGGGCTGGACGGGCTCATATGAGATTAGCCGGTCGTAGCGGCGCCCGACCACGGCCAGGGGAAGTCTGCCGGCCTCCGGGCATCAGCAGCTAATGGCGCACTGGCTGCCCAGTCTGCATTGCCCACGTGTCTGGGAACTTCCTGGGTTGGCCGTGGGTCGGAGTGGCCGCCGCCTCTACTGCCTGCGGGACTTCACCGACCCACTGCGCTCAGCCACTTTTTACTAGGCAGATTACCGAGCTCTAATCAGAAGCGCTCAAGTCTGCTGGAAAATTAACTTCTCAGCAAATTATGTTGGAAATTGGAGATGAGCGACATTGTTCGGTTTGTGAACTCCTCGCCTGTGTCTGACGGCTCGAGATGGACCGGGTTTTAGCGGGGGGGGGGGGGTTGGCCCGGCGGCCGGCCTTGAGGCGCTGTAGAGAGTGCGCGCCCGGCGAGGGACGGCCCTGCTGAGCCCAGACAAATCGATGCTGCTCTGTGCGGTCACGAGCGAGGGATGACAGCCCGGCTGGCCAGCCCGGCCCAGTGCCGCTGGCACGAGAGGAACGTCCTCTCTGGTTACCGTTTGATCCTTTGTCTCGTCTTCCGAGAACCATAAGGCCAGCGAGCAGCCCATCCGTCCGGTCTGCACCTGGCTGACGATGTCTCCACCCGCTCTCTCTACAAGCTTTCGGTGCCGATTTACCATTCCAGGCACACACTCTACCTGCCCGTTCCAGTCCTCGCGGTGCGCACATTCAGCCGGCTCGGCAGCTTCTCAGAGCCGGCGTATTGTTGTTCGCATCGCTTGCACCATCGCCGGGCCAGTGAACCCGCGACCAAGCGTGGCGACCGCCGCCGGAGCCGTCTTGCAGCGCGCACCGGTCCGCCCGTCCTGTGCCCGAGCTCGGCCTCAGGTGCGCGCCGCCGGCCGGCCTTGCTCAGGGCGCGCCCAGGGCCTGGGAAGGCGACCCAGATTCGTCGGCTCTTATCCAGCGCCGAGAGTGGAGGGTAGAGACGGCTCGCTCGGTGGTGTGAGCATGCTCGCCGCGCTCCAATGTAGGCTAATGGCGGCTGTGCGGCTCGGAGCTGATGCCGAGACCTCGGGAGATGACCGGACGACTGGGGAGGGCGGCGTGGGAGTGTACTGAGATGGACCGAGATAGAGGTGGGGCGGCGGCCGACGGAACCCGACGAGTGCCGGAATCGGAGTTTTATGGGGTAATGAGGCGTGTTTGATGGAGGGAGAGAGCCGAACCAAGCTGGAAGAGGAAATGAGACGGAAGGGTCAGATACTCCCGTGGAACGTGAGACATGCCATGTATTGGGCCATCTTTGATGCAGGCGCACCAGACGTTCATTCTTTCCGGGTCCAGTCCATCATTTCTTCCGGGTCGTAATGTATTGGAAAGGAATGGACCATCAGTGGAGGGAGGATTTGACGGTAATGACTGAAGTGGATTGTGTGCTAATCACTCGGAGTCTGATCACTCTGGGGACGTACCGGTTCAGTCAGCTCAGCCCGCACTGCGCACTGGCCTCTGCTGTATAGCTGCGTCAGCTCTGTGTGGCTGTCTGCGACGCAGTGGCTCCCAGACACTCCCAATCCCCCAGGACTCCCCGAGTCCAGGCTAATGAGCTGAGTGCGGCATCGGCCGGCGACTTTCCCTGCTTTACCGTGCAGAGCTGGCGATTACGAAGATCTCTGACCCCACCGACGGAGTCTGGCCGGCCGTTGTTTGCCGCCGGCTATTATGTTTACTTTGTTGGGCCATCTTCGCTGTGACCTCTGGCCCACATTGCCGCCCTTAATGGCTTCTTGTGGCCGGTGCCGTAATAGATGCTTATTAACTCACCTTTCTGACGCTTTTTTATTTACCATATATCTTAAATGAAATCAGAGTCCATTTTCCACAGACACCTGTTATTAACTCGGACAACTGCCCGCTCGTGCTCGTGACGTTTGGCCAGACCTGACCTCAAACACTGTTGCAAGGAGACACCCACTGACGTTTCTCTCTCTCCTCCCTCAGGAGCACATGAACTGGTACGGCGAGGACGAGCTGCTCGGTCCGCTGGTGCTCTCCATCAAGCCGGAGCAGATCTCGTCCCAGGAGCACCTGCGGCTCATCCTGCGGCTGCGCAGCGGCACTTGTCACGAACTGGTGCCCTGCTCCTGCCTCGGTGACGCGCCCACGCCAGCCCGAATGGCCAAGGTGAGCGGCCAGAGAACCGGCAGGGCTTCTGTCGAAGGAACCTCCTGCCATTCTTGCTATTCAAGACTGCTCTGTGAAGTGGTTGTTAGATATTCTTAATAGTTATGGAACAATGCGTGTTCATTAGCACTGCTAAGCGGCCAATGCGGCCATTGTATTGAAGGCTTACGCTTCTTTTTTAATAAGTTTTATTTTACGCCTAGTTGAATTTATGTACGGTTTAATTTAGCGACCTTCGTTAATTCGCCGCAATATCCAGGCATATGAATATTCCTTTGAAACGGTAGATTACCGAATCAAGGCTGTCGTTTGGTAACTGGAGACAAACTTCTACGTTCTCCGCAGCCAAGTGCTCGACGATATCGCTTTGGGGTTTGTTTACGTGCCTCTGAATCGGCCCTAATTAGGACGGCGTGGCTTTTCAGACATTCCAGTCTCTGGTTCTGTTTGAGCGCCAGCCTCTCCACAGCAGCCTTGATCCAAATGTGAGGCCTGGATTTATTCGGCGGCCACTTGGGCCCAGCTCATATTGGTCACGTGATCTCAGCCAGGTCACGTGATCACGACCTGGCGAGTTTTGAAGGGCGGGGTTGGAGATTTGGAACGATGCTTCAAGGCCGGTCTAGCGCAACTTTTCAGACGCCATCAAGTTTGGCTTACCCAAGGGCAACGCTAGATTAAAGGTAACGAGGAGACCTTCCTAAATTTAATTTTTTCGGTCGTATCAAACCCATTAGCGATATTCTGAGCTAGGTAAGATGGCGTGGGCAGCCGCCTTTGATTATCAGGAGCCTTCAGAGCTCCTTTCAACGCGAGAGGATAGTGTCTTTTTGAGGCAAACGTCTAATAAGTAATAGCATTCAGGCGAGACTCCCAGTGCACACGTTGAAAGCGAAGTAACTATATGAAATAACGTCTTCCGTCAAAACGTGTTACGTGCTCGAACTTCACATAAAAGGCACTGTCAAAGCCAGTATGACGCAATTGTAGAAACGTCTCGAAGTGCTAAACACTGCATTCATATTAAATTCCAGTCAAAGCAGCGTACACAAAGCTTTCTAGCTAGTCTTATGTAACAAGTCACGAAAGAGCCTGCTCGACGCGGCGGACCCGACCGCGGCTCTGACCGATGCGTCTCCATCCCATCGGCCATGTCACAGCGCGTCGACCACGACGAATGATTACATATGATTAGGGCTCGTCGGGCGCGACGATGACGCGTCGTGGGAGACGATTGCCCCGCGGCTACCGGGCCGTGTAAGCTGGGCGCTGGGGAGAGCGCGAGCGGAGAGAGGGAGAGAGAGGTATCGGGGAGAGGATGTCGCCTCCAGGGTGATTTATTGAGACGGTGGCGGCGGCGGCATGGAGGTGAATATAATTGAATCAGCGAACTCGGCGCTACGTGCGCACATATGCGCCTGTATCCCTCCCCTGGCATGTCACTGTGTCCTAATATCTCTGCGATATTTTTCCGCCGGCACTGTTGCACATTCTCTAACCGGAAACCTACCGCCGTTCTCTCGGAGGCACTTCTTTCCCAATGTGTGGCCGCGCACTAACAGCCTCCATTTTCTCCTCAACCGGCGCAGTTTCGTCACAGTTTACCTCCCGAGCCGCGGGTGGCCATTATTTTTGCGGCACAGTAGCATTAATCTTTACCTCGCTGGGATAATTCTACAGGTAGCCTTGGCCAACAATTTATTTTGATGCGCTTTTTATGGTCTGTTGCAAGCTGCAGAACAGGCGAGTCGTGTCCTGAACCGCGCACATATTTCCAGCACGCTGGACTCAGCGGCCACGAACAGGCAAAGACTGCGTGCTACGTGCTGTCTGTCCTTCCCTGTTGGTCTACGAGCGTGGCCGGTTTGCCTGTCCTTTTAGCGCTGCGTTATATCCTGTAGTCATTTTCCCGCACATTTACCGCGAGCGCCCTTATTTCGACCAGCACATGCGGCGCCAGTCTTCGATACCAAACCCTAGCCATTCAGCCGTCAGTATATACAGTTGCACGGTTGCAAGTCTCGGCAAGTGGTAGAAGATATGTGAAACAGTTAGCAGCTGAGGGGCTGCAGACGGCTCTGCCGGCTCACCTGCCAGAATCGCCACCGGCATGGGACCGGACCGGCCAGCCGGCCCCGCGGCCGGGCTCAGTCGACACTCGGACCCGGCTCAGCCGGGCCGGCGGCCTTCCTCCCGTCGGACCTGATTTATGCACCCTATTCGTCTGAGAGGCTTTGTTCGCCGGGCGACCCTTCCATGCAGGCGGTAACAGCGGCGACGGCGCGGCGGCGAAGGCAGGACTCCGGCTCGTGCCGGCGCCGTCCCGGTCCCTCCCGACCGACTCAGCACGGCCGGTCGTCGGACCATGGACCGTATCGCCCCCACATCAGCTCGGAGGCGCCCGACGGCATCGATTCGCATCGATTGCCTGCATATATTAACGACGTTCCCGCGTGGAACGCCCCCGTCACCGGCCTCGCAAATATTCGGCGTCGTTGGGGAGGGCGTCCAGGGGAAGGGGATCTCAACATGGACGGCTCTATGGTCGGGCGTGTGGCTGGGGTGGACTCGAAGTCTATAAGACAGATCGGTGACTTGGCTGCCGGTCTATGCGGGTGTCCGGGCTCGCTAACGGTGGTGTCGGGCGCCTATTCTTGCCGTGACCGAGGAAGATTGGCGGGCGCTGATGAGTGGGCGTGTCTGCGTTTAGACCAGCTGCGAAGATAGGTCGGTCTAACGGTCGAACGCCGTCGGCAGACGGGCCGACCGAGGGCGACAGAGCCGCGGCTGGGACGAGTCACCAGCGGGCTGTGTGCTGGCCGACACAGCTCGAGACGGGCTGTGTGCAGAGCTCAGACAGCTGGCGCGGCAGGCGGCTCTGGCCAGACGGCTGGCGGACATCAGCGCCGCTCGGAGGTGACTGGTCGGATACCACCCGAGTCTGTCAGAGATTCGCGCGGCGCCCGCACTGACCGGCCGCTGACCCGGCGGCGCCGTGTTCGGCGGTGGCAGACAGATTCAGGTCGGCCCGCGCCGCCCTCCATTGTCCACAGACGCCGGCGCCTCTCGGTCGCCGCCCGGGCCCGTCTCTAATGGGCGCACGGTGCGTGCACCGCGCCGGGCGGGCGGTGGGTGGTGGGCGGTTATGGGCGGCGGTGGGAGGCGGCAGACCGGAGCTCTCGGCCCACCAGCGCCCCTCAGCGCCGACCGGCCGAAACCACGGCCTCGTTTCGTGCGCAATTAGTGGATATTTTTGTGGGCACTGCCTGATGAATGCGTGCTCATTTGCATGAGACGAGTTGGAGTGCGTCTCCCGCGGCGCCGCTGGTCGGCTCGGCGCCGGTGCGCTGTCTCTCACCGGCCGGCCGCGGGCGCCGCGTCTCTCGGTCTCCGACTCACCGCCGCTCGGGGTGAGCACTGAGCAGCCGCACCCGGATACCGCCTCGCACATGGTGTAAACATCCTGCCATGTCTGAGGCGGCTCCGTGGCCGCAGCAGCCCGGCGGCCCGTCTGTTGTCCGTGGCCTGCGCGGCAGCGTGGCTCACTCGCAGGAAGCTGGCGCAATATCTCGGTCTCAATCTCCACCTCCGTCTGGCCTGCACCCGTTCGGCGGCGGCCGGTGCGCCGAGCCGGCCTGTTTATTTTCTCAGCTCCGGAGATGAGTTTTGCCGCTCCGTTGCGTCTCTCCTCTGCCTGTCACCGCACCGCGGCTCCCTCCGTGGTGTGCCGCTGGCCCGCTTTCTCGACGGCGCTACACGTCTGCGGCGGCGGCTTCCGGCCGTCTTCGGGGAGCGAACGACGCGTGACACGACGGGGACCGTGTCGCCCTGCCGCGACGGAGCGACAGAAGGCATGCACCTCCTGATTTACATTCTGAGAGTGAGGAAGGCGAGCGGCGAGCGGCTGTCATTTCCGCACCATTTCGGGAACGGGGAACAGCGGGTGGGCGGCGGAGAAGGCAGCGGGTATGCGGCCGTTACGGGCGATTCACGATTGTCTGTGACTGTGTGCATAGATATGATGTCTTAGTGGGCCATCTCTTCTTCACCCATAGTCATGATAAGATGTTCAGTCGGGCATTTTATCTTCGCTATAGGTACATCCGCTCTGACGCTGGAGCTATATCGTCTCTGCTACCCACCTGTCCGCTTAATCGCATTATTCGTAACCATACCCAGCGACAATGTCCAGTCATTTATACGTGCGCTGGCACACTGCTGTCCTTGTGTGTAATGCTAGTTTGTTCTAACCCGTCGTTTTTTTTCTTGCAGCTGCTGAACGACGAGCTGACGGTGGAGCGTCTGGAGCCCGTCCTGGCGCCGGGCACCTCGTCCCTGCTGCTCGCCTACGACGAGCACGTGCTAGTCAACCACTTCAAGTTCGGCGTCATCTACCAGCGGCACGGCCAGACGCGCGAGGAGGAGCTCTTCGGCAACCGCAGTCACAGCCAGGCCATGGACGAGTTCCTCGAGATGCTCGGCAGGAGGATCCCGCTCAAGGATCACAAGGGGTGAGTGCAAACGGACAGCGACGAGATATGAGAGAAACGGCGTCAATGATATACGAGAGGGAAGTCGATTCAATGCAAACTTTATTGGTTCCACTTCTGGTGACGATTTACAAACTGCGTATGACCTTACATAAGGATATTGCATCTTCGAACGTTCAGGATGCTCATTGCTCAGCATATTCACAGCTTGACAGGTTGACGTGAGGCGTTATTCAATCTTCTGTGAACGGCCCACTCTTGGCGCAGAGAAGTGCTCTTCCAGTTTTAGTGCTCTTGCTGGCCTCGTATTACTTTGTTACGCTGTCAATATCGAAATGACATGAAATGCGTTACGTCCGTTGTTATTGGCGGCACGTGCGGCGTCCAGCACGTGCAGCTGCAACAGTGACAGTATTACTTTCCCTGTTACACCACACAGACGTGATGCGGCCGAGCCCAGGATTTTGTCACCCATCCATCCATCCATCCATACTGCCCGTATCATGTCCCCATTACTAACATCACACAGAGGGAACAATGCCAATATACGGCGGGCTCTGAGAAGGTGCTTCAACAGACGGCGCACTATTTCACTTTCTCTGTGCATCCGAGGCTCGACTCTAATGTCTTTCCAGTTAGCATGGTTTTGCCTGCCGCCCCCAGTCGTGGGCTCGTCTCATATTCCGAGTACATCCTTTGCTGGATAAATTAGGTCTGAATAGTTCGGGTAGGTAAATATTTGAGATCAAATATCTAGCTTATCAGCTGTTGTATAAACCGTATGTCATTGCAAGAGCGACTAGCTATCTAGGCTGCTCTGGTTGAGCATTTTTCTTTACCTACGGCCAGGCCACATCTTCTAATCTTATAACGGTTTCAACACTCTGCGCCGTTTATTTCCACAATGTCTTTCGTGTGTGATCCGTCCGTTTCGACTATGATCCTGCCCTGGTTCCGGGCGGCTCCGTCGGTTTCAGACAGCGCCTGTGATCCTTCCCACGCCACCCCATCAGCTCCACACCCGACGACCTGGTGCGGTGCTCCCCAGCACAGGTCAGCCGCGTCAGTGGCACCGGCGTCTGACCTTCATCTCCCGTGGCGCTTCCGGCACCTGTCTCCTCTGCCGTTCGCCGAGCTGCCGAGCACAATTTCCTCCCGATTCTCCACCGCGGGCAGCGACCCTCTGCTCTGTCCCTAGCCCTCTGTCCTGACCTCTCGGCTCTCTGCCTTTATCACTCAAACCTCTACCCGTTTCTTTCACTCTGTCCTTGTCCCACGACCTTCCGCTCGTCTCTCACACTCTGCCTTTATCCCCCGGCTCTCTGACTGTCTCCCTCACTGTTATTGCCTCGGCGGCGGCAGTCCGTGTTCGAGCCCGGCGTCTGACCCAGCTCCTCTCCTCATGCAGGTACCGGGGTGGCCTGGACACGCAGCACGGTCAGACCGGCGAGGAGACTGTCTACGACACGTTCAAGGACCGCGAGGTGATGCTGCACGTCTCCACACTGCTGCCCTATACTGAGAACGACCCGCAGCAGCTGCAGCGGAAACGGCATATCGGTGAGTGGTGAGGGACGACAGTAGGGAATGATTGGAGAAAATAATGGGTGATTAAGACCGTGATAATAGAAAAGTTAACTTAGGACGGGATGATATACATAGATAGACACGAAACTTGTGGTAAATGTAAAGGAGTTCGATACTTGGGTTTACTGAAGGCTGGTGTTTTAAACTGGAGAGGCATAAAGGATGGGGATAAGGTACTGATTGCTGCTGGGGACAGCACAACACCCCATCAGAGCCCCAGAGGTCTGTAGAACAAAGTGTTGTGATTGTTTTTGCCTGTGTTGGTGTGACAGCTCGTGGTGAATGTCTCAGTTATCGTGTTGTTCCCCACTCCCCACCGTCACTACCCGCCACTTAGCGGGTAACATGTGTGGGAACCGTCGGAGTTTCGAAACTGCGCAGCCGTGACCGAGCAGAGGCCGCTAGCTATCTTCCATCGCAGTGGCTGTCTTCCTGTGTGCTCGCTGCTCGGTGTCTGATGGGCTCGCGTCCAAAACACACCGTGTTAAACATGCCGTGACTGTGTTTGTCTGTGTCTCTTTCTCTCTGCGCTTGTGCATTTCTGACTTTTCGTTCTCTCCGCTCGGCAGGTAACGACATTGTGGCCATCGTGTTTCAAGAGGCGAACACGCCGTTCGCTCCTGAGATGATCGCCTCGCACTTCCTCCACGCCTACATCGTGGTCCAAGTCATCGACCCTTGCACGAGTAATACAAGGTGCGTGCCCGAGTGATATCAGGCGTGGCATGCGCTGCGGGAGGGTTACATGAATTGGCTGCTGGCCGTCAAGGGACGCATGTAGCGTGAATGGCATAATGAGGTGTTGTATAACGTGTTACTCCTTGTGTGGGATGCTTTATGATGAGCGTACGGAGAATGTGATGATTGAGTTCTACCCGATAAACGCCTTGTCTATATCTGCCTGTATTCATTCAGTGAAAAGAGTGAAATGAAAGCATTATTGGCTGGCAATAGCTCGTTCATCCATGATGCCGCGTGACAAACTCCGTGTATTTGTAGCTCACATGAATGGAGCCGAGACGGCATAATGATCTATCATATGAGCTTCACACGTCTGACAAATTGTGACATTAAATCTCAATCAACGCACATCAGGCGCAAAACGCTAGAGAACACACACATGATTGATAAGACACGACGAAGAGGCATAATCGATATTATGTTACATTCACACAGAGCTCATCGTTACTGCATAGGTCACATCTCATCGATAATATGAGTTGGCTATATTCGTTCAGTGACGTAAAGGCTCTCGCAGGACATTTCCCACTAGCCGGCGCCAGCTCCGCCGTCTGCTCTCGCACCTTGAGCTGTCCCTGACCGTCTCTCTCTCTCTGCTGTTCCCAGGTACAAGGTGAGCGTGGTGGCTCGGAACGACGTGCCGTTCTTCGGTCCCACTCTGCCGAGTCCCGCCGTCTTCAGGAAGGGACCCGAGCTCAGGGAGTTCCTGCTCACCAAACTGATCAACGCCGAGAACGCCTGCTACAAGGCGGAGAAGTTCGCCAAACTGGAGGTAGGTAGCGTGAGGAATTAGGGCTGACCCAAGCAGATCAGGCATGTGGGCACCACGACCTTGTTGCATAATTTTTGCATAGTGCGCTATTGTAGACGCTCAAGAGGCATGGATATATGCCTCACAAAAATAGCAGCATACTTGAGCTGTCTTCAGATATCACCTATTCGCATGTCAGTTTGCTTAGGACTTGAAACACGGGCGTTACTGCGCCCAATGCTCATCCACCATTTTTGGAGATATTTCTGGGAACGCAGGCCATAAACGAACCACTTGACGTGAGCTATCCACTCGTGGTTAATTTACGACCTCGCTTCAATCTCGGTGACAACGACCCACGCACCTACTGCGCAGTTATGAGTGTCGTTACCACCGCCCTTGTCGCGTCACCACGCACACTTCCCACACAGTCCGCCACGGTGGGGTGTGTTTTTGGTCCGTTTTTACCACCCTGAGATGTTGTTCGCCGCTAACCAGTTGCTCCCTCCACAGATGCGGACTCGCACCTCTCTGCTGGCCAATCTGGTGGACGAGGTACGGCTGCGGAGTCTGCAGTTCTGCGGCCTGCAACCGGCGCCGGCCAGCGGCGCTGACCTGCCCCGCGAGTCCTCGTCCGGCCTGCTCAGCACGGTCCGTAAGGCGCTCACCTCGCGCTCCAAGAGCCAGCCGGACGACCGGCGCCGGCCGCCGCCAAGCCCGGCCGCCGACGGCGGACTGGTGTTCCGCGCGCACAAACCGCTCACCAAGCGCACCTCGTCCGGCGCCTCCAACAAGGACACGCTCAGCTCCGTGTCCAGCCAGCAGTCCAGCTACCGGACCTGCAGCTCTGCCTCGTCCAGCCCGGACGCCACCCCGCACAGGACACAGAGGTAAGGGGACGAGACAGCTGGGAGAGGAGTGGGGCAGGGTGGGAGGGACGGAGAGAGGGTACTCCAGCTGTGTTGTCATGGTGGATATTGCGTAACGAATCGCCCAAGAGCTCTGTCGGTATCAGATTTTGGGGATATTGCGATTCTTGCCGGGCCCTAGAGGTTTTTGGGTCCCCTGGTTTTCGACAATTCAAGTGTCATCTCAGCACAGACAAACAACATGTAATATTACTGCGTGCTACGTTTTAATGCTACTTCCTTCCGTCACTTGCTTCCAGTCCCAATAACTTTGGCAACCTGATCTCGTTCGGCGGGCGGCAGAACGAGGGGACTTGACCTTTTCGCTCGGTGCCAGCCGTCTGGTTTACGTTTGAATATTAGAATAGTGAAATTGAAGTCACAGAGCTGGGCTCAGCGGAGAACAAGCGGCTGTCGTGTTCGTTTTTGAATATGGATCATAACACGATTTCCTCCGTTTTCAGGATCACTATGTCGGAGAGCGACGACTCGTCGCTCAACTCTGTGGACCTGGAGCCGGCCGGTTACCATGGCAACGGCTACCACGACGACTCGGACACGGGCATGGAGAGCATGGGATCGGCGGAGAACAAGCGGCTCTCGTGCTCGTTCTGCGCCGAGGAGCCGAGTGACGCGGCGGCCGCCGCGGCCGCCAGCGACATGGTCAAACAGATGGAGAGGCTACGCGCTGAAGTCAGCGCCCTCAAGAATGACAAGCTCGACCTCCTCAGGCAAAATGTGGTAAGTATGCGGCGTGAATTTGGATTATCTCGGGCTCGAGTATGAATTTGAAGTCGGCGTCAGCTTTGTCGCGTACATCTGTCCTGTGATGTGTTTTGTCAGGAAAAGTGCAGGTTGTCACGGGCTGTCATATCACACTTGAGGCTTAGCGTGCCACTTCGGATAGTACGGTTCGGAGTGTTTTTACAGCCCGAGAGTGGTTTGTTATGTGAGCTGATTCGTGGTGCGGCATTTTATCGTGTTTTGACCCGGGCTTTATGGCGGAACATGAGATGGGTCGCGGTTTATGACAGGGGCCCGACTGCGCCATAGAATTGATTTAGTGTCTCTGTATCTGCTTTAGTGTTGTCTGGCCCGGCATTTACGGGCGTATCACGTACCGTATCGAATGATTCCGGGTACTTCCGCCTGTTTTAGAGTAGGCCAGGGGTGCTCTGTATTCTGGGTTCATGGCTGTGGTATCAGGAATGGGCACGGTTGTAAACAAACAACGCTAAAATATAGTGTGTCGGTGTGTGTGAACTGGACCGGGACGCGCAATAACGTCTGCTGTTTCTCTGTCCTACAGACATGCCAGAGGGACATCAAGAAGCTGAAGGCGAACGAGATGAAGCTGCAGCAGGACATGACGTCAGCCAGTCGAGAAATCGCCAGGCTTCGTGCGCTCGTGAAAGACTTTGGCACCGAGCTGTCGGCCGTGTAAGCTTGTGATTGGTCGGCGCCGCTCACCGCTGACTGTTGATTGGCCGACACCGCTCACAGGTGATCGCTGATTGGCTATCGCTGTGTGACGCTTTGCGGGCCGTTTCGACCCGCGCTCGATCCAAAGAAAAGTGAATAATCGTTGTTTGCGCTTGAATCATGCTCTATATAGTAATTGCCGTGTCGCCTCGCATTCCGCGCATTTGAGAAGAGTGTACAAATGGGTTTGTGTTCATGCTGTTCTCCTCTGCTGGCATCGCGGCGCACTGCGGCGTGGCGCGGCGCGGCGCGCGCGCCGGCCTGCTTAGTCCCCGGCCGGCGCCCATTTAGTCAATTCATTTGCATGTAGCACAGGGCAGTGTTGCGTCGGCGGCCGTACCTGCCGCGTTCGGGAGCACCGTTACATATTTATTGTCCAACAGCAATGTGCACGCTGCGCGGCGCCGCCTGCGTGCGGCTATTTTCGTACTGGCACCGGCGGCCGCGGGTGGGTACTGGGTGGGTCACCGCCCCGACACCCCCGGGCCGGCCGCAGTACAGGACGCATTCAGTCCTCGGTGTACGTCAATGTGATCTGAGCATGGGATAGTCCTTATCGTATATGTGTATGTTCTCTGTGAACTTGCGAGAATACACGTGCGAGGTTTTAGGTGGTTATCTCTGTGGGGTGCCTATCACTGAGGCAAGGAGGAACTGATACTGAAGGAAGGAGGGTTAAAGGGAACGCCTTAGTGAAATTCCACGGCCATGGCGCTGGTTGGGTCCGTGGTGAAGACGCTCGTCTCACGATTCAGCGGTCGATGGTTCGGTTCTCAACAGGTCACACCAGGACACAGGACACAGGACACGGGGGACACAGATCCCTCCGATGGTGGTGCCGCTAGCTTTTTGCGTCAAGTTCAATCCGCGAACAAGACTCTGCATGATGCACGGTGCGAGTGCGAGCAGTGCGGTGGGGATGACAGTCCTGAAGCCACACTGCAGTAGACTGTAAAGCTGGGCTAGGGATATAGATCTGCAGCTGGGCTAGCCATGCACCCACAAACATTCCGCCATTAGGTATATGAGCGGGATTTAGTCAAACGATAACCAAAGGACGCTTATTACAACGCGTAAAGGTCATTAGAGATTAGGCCAAACTGCGGTACACATGCAAGCACCCCATTTCTGATTTTCCGTAATTCACATATCCGCTAGCGAGCAAAAAGTTAATCTGTTTTGCTCTAGCAAGTGAACACGAACTAACACGACACGACTAACAAGCGAAGAGTGTTATTTATATTCGATTCAAAGACTGGGAAACATGGGATATGTAGGAGAAATTTATCCGTTTGTATCACAACTTCAGGTCAGGCTGACTGTGTACAGTTCAACCTCGGTCGCAGCAAACAGCAATGGATCACACACCTCGCCTCAACATATCTACCAGGGAATCCCTCTATTGAATCCAGCACACGGGCGAAACGGATATCAATCAGGACCTCGGCCCACGCATCAACTTTAGGCTCCTTGGAGACATATGTCAGTCACTGATCCAGCGACAAAGGCCTGTCCCGGGGTCCAAGATCGATACCCGAAGATAAAGGGTGAATTGGCACGGATTCGAGAGGATAAAGACGCCAGAGCTCGTCAGGCTTCCCATTCCGCTGCTCGGAATGTATTTGCGAAGGTCTGTAGAAGGTGCGTGCTGCGAGACAACAATACGTCTGAAATTAACCAAATTAGTGGATCGGACAAACTGCCCCGAACTTCCAGCACCCAACCAGTCGGTCTCACGTTTCGCCGTGTATTTCTGTAGCTTTCTAGTCTAGTTTGTCTTTCGTTCGTTACAAGGGTTGTTCAAAACTCCTTTCGAAACACTCAGACGTGCCACAAAGAGACTCAGTGGTGTTCTCCGCGGCTCTGAGAAGTGCGGTGTTTATTACATATGACGCAGTGCAGAGAGAGAGAGGAAACGGTAGAAGCCCATTCAGACCACTCAACAGAGTCAAACAGTCAGTGAAAGGAATCAGAGCTAGTTCAACACAGCGACATTCAACAAAACCGTGCGACCGTGAATTGGAGCGACACTTGTCTTAGTGAGCGGATGTCCTTCGAATGAGAAATAATGAAACAACTATACATTCAACATCAAACCAAGGATAAATGTTCGCTAAAATCGGTGACTATCAATACAGTGTTGAAGAGAGCCGATAGCACTGTTTAATAGTTGACATGAAAACCTGCAATATGCAGTTACAATAGCCCATACTGTTCAAATAAAAAACACCGTGCAGTTTTACCAGATACAAAACCTAGCCAAATAACTTACGGCACATAACACAACTACTATCACACACAACAATATAATACTTATTGTATCGGTGAGATGTGCTGAAACTATTCCATTCAAGTCCATGTGATGACAACACTTAATATCACAAAGTTAATATCAGACGCCGAACAGTCACTAGCCGTTCACATCAAATTCAACTGAAAACATCCGACAAGCGCTATCAAAACCGACCAAAAACATTTGACCAACGCTATCAAATCGTCCGAAAATCTGTTACCGACTTTACCCTGGGCAGTTGAAACACTGCGGACCGGGCGATAAAACCGCTCTCTGTCGAACGCTTCCCTCTATAACCTCACTGCGTCACATGTGTAGTGACTAGTGTCTCTTTGGTATCTGCGACACAACCCCATCGGATCTTTCCGCGTGGCGTCTGGCTCACCGTGCTTCCAGTACCGGGGTACCTGGTACGTTCGGTACGCATGCGGTACCTCGAGCGACGCCAACAAGTGCACTCTACGGTTTTAATGCAGCACTTCTGGAAAAAATCGATCAGTCCTACAGCTGTCCAAGACTGACTGATCGACTGAGTTTAAATTGGTCTTAAAATTTCCCTCGGCTATCAGTCATTCCACCTATATACACTAGGCATCAGAACAACATCTGTACACTGAATCTCCGCACCGCGGCCGGCAGGGTCCATATCACAGAATGGTTGCAGCCGCCGACATTTCTATCTCCCCTGAGGAGCCACTGGGCGACCGGACCCGGTTAATCGGCCCCGTCCAGCGCCGCCTGACTCACAGTTCAGCAGTGCCGAGACTGCTGCTAGCTTCACGGCCATATCAGCGCCTAAGTAGTCCACGATCCACTAATGAACGCACCGCAGATGACTGTTGCTGCATCTCCCCACTAGTCCACCACCCAGCAGTGGGGCTGCCACAGCAGCGTGTACACCGACCTGCGCGCCGACAGTTCGTAGGGCGCGGCGCCGGCGGCCGGGCAGAACCGGCTGACCAGCGAGCGGTAGCCCCTGCCCACGGTGACCAGTCCCCTGCCGGCCGTCTCACAGTCCGAGTCGGCCTCTGAGTCTCCGTCCGCCCCGGCCGTGGGGGTGGAGGCGGCGGTGGGGAGGGCGGGCGGCGGCGGTAGCAGCGGGACGATGGCGCGCACCTCCTCCTCGTGCGGCCGGAACACGGTGATGGGGAGCATGGTGGCGGCGGCGGCCACCACCACGCAGCCCCAGGCGGTGCCCAGGTACAGCTCCGAGCCGAGCACGGACAGCGCGGTCACCTGAACAGGGAGGGGTAGGTCAGATCTACACACCAGGTACAGCTCCGAGCCGAGCACGGATAGAGCGGTGACCTGGGGGTAGGGGGAGGGTCAGATAACAGACGGTAACACCAGAATGCCATTACATATAACCGCAGGTTGTTTCAATCAGACAAACACTATTCGTCAGAATTGCGTTTTCCTATTGATAGATATGTAACACCAGGTGGTACACTGGGTACAGGTACACCAGGCGCACATGCTACACGGGCACTGTTTGCGGAAGAACACCGTTAGCAGATGTTATATGAAGGGCACCGGCTATCGATCTCCGTTCCGGTCGTTCACTGGCAGGTCCGATCGGGGCGCGCTATCGACTGACCCCAGAGGACCGCAGTCTAACAGTCTAAACCACAAAGGACAGTGTGCTGTCCGTTCGAAAGGTACCCATTCGAGCTGGTTCACTACCATCTGTGACTCGCGCAGAGGCAGGAAAACTGAGCGACAGACCAGAGGAGGTCTCAAACAGAAAAGACGACAGCGAGAGACTCGGTCTGTATACCACCAGAGCGTGTGACCCGAGTAGGGCACACAAGTTGGAAAGTGATCAATCACAACAGGGAGCAAGCGTAGGATATCACAGCGAATGGGACCCTAGCAGAAGACAGGAGTGGGACACCAGTCGCGGTTTGAGACCCGGACCACCGTCGCTCACCTGGCATTTTGCCGGACTGAGGTGTTCGTCGATACTGATGGAGCGCATTGACTCCGAGACCGGCACCAGTTTGGAGCAGTCGAGCTTGTTGGCGATCGTGTGCGTGGTGACGTCCCAGTGGTAGACCACGCAGCCAGGGTGGATGTAGGTCCACATGCTCTGCTCCAGGCCGGCCGACACCTGCCGGGGAGCAGCCACTTGACGTCAGCGCCGCGCACCCAGGGGCAGTACACGTACACAAGCACAACACCAACACTCAGGTTAGCAGCGGCGCTCAGCACAGCCGGTAGCTGCTGTACCCACAAGGTCACGGAGGCTGATTTGCTATTCGCCACACCGGCCCATATCAAGCCCAAAACACAAAGTTGGCTGAGATGCACTGATCTGGGAGTCGCGGCACCCGGATCATTAGGGCGCTGTAGATTGTTAGTCATGGCCAGGGCATTGGGAGTGTACTCGGCGCCTTTGACGGGACACCCAACATCCCACAGTCTGAATAATACAGCGGCGATATGCATGGAAGGCTGCAAAGTGTACCGAGCGACCGCTCCCAACGGGCTGAAACTCCTGATATACATAGCAGTCATGGCAGAATTCGGAGAATAGGCAGGGTTTGGGGGATCCTGAGTTACCAGCGCAAAAATGGGTGAAGAACCCAAGCTTTCGCCGCGTTATGTGATTTCAAATGCTGCCCTAATGCCTCCTTTAAAAGGTCATTCCCAACTACCGCTAAGTTTGTGTGGTTTAACTGTGATCCATCGTCACACGAGTCCCCAATAGCAGAAAGGAGTTCTGAAGTCGAATCGCTTCAATCGCTGCAGACTTTGGCAAGCGGAGTTATTATGCTACGACTAGCCTCAGCACGTTATAATACGCACCCTGGCGTCCGTTCATTGGAGCCAGGGACACTCAAATTAATCGTATCAAGGATTGGGCCACTCAGCAAAAAATGGTCAATGGTCGCTTGCTCAAAGATTGTTCGGATGCCGCCAAGCAGACCCCACAAAAACGTTTCAGTTCGGGTCAGACTTCCCGAACTGAGGATCCCCAGATAAAACAAAACACACACCCTGAGCTTGGTGCTCCCATGTAGTCTACCATATAGTTGGGTACTTGGATAAAACATCATCTATCCTCCTTACTCGTAATTCACCATCCCACTTATATTCGCCATTCCCACGGAAAATGATGTTCGAGGAAGCGATATTCATCAGACGTATTCATTATCGTAGCGCATTCCCGGCACATACTGCTGGCCGGCATACTCATCAGACTCAACAAAAGTCAAATCAAAGAAACTGATGAGATTGACCGACTCTGGGCTTCCATCTACGTCAGAATAAATCGCATCAGACAGACATTGCCAGATGTTATCTTTGCCAGTCTGGGCGCAGGCCGGGCGGTTAGGATAGTCTACTGCCAGCCAGCTATCCACAGTCCGCGGCGGCCGCGCCCACACAGAGCAAGAAAATTAATTAAAAGTTCTCTTTTCACCGGTCCGTGTAAAGTTCAGCACCATTGTGGCCCCGAGTCGTGCCGTCTGCCACTGCACATCGGAGATAGATTTGTCGCAAATTCAGGGAGGAGAGGCGTGGGCTGCAACAGTACTATCGCAAATGACGCCGGGCAAACAAACTATTGCAGATGACATCTAGTTCATCTTGCATACTGCTTAGAAGATATGTTTGCGTACCTCCTCCAGAGCCAGACTTTCTTAGATATAAATTCGACTTTGAACGGTAACATATTGCCGACAATGCACCAACCTCTAGGAAATAAGAAATGCAGCGCTTACAGCTACATCTAGACAGCTAAACAAACTCCGGGGGGGGGGGATATTTCGCAACTAAAGCCACTTAACATAACTACCTTGATGACTTCATATTCTATATCAAGTAGCTCGAACAAAAGCAAGACACACACAAGTTTCAGTGACATAAAGCAACTTATAAACTTTCAAGAAATAATGTCGCTTTGGGTTTTGATGTCTGAAACTTGACAATAATTTATCAATTTATTTCACTAAAAGCAAATCCAATCGCTTACAACTTTTTCTCAATACTCTGAAAGACGCCAGGATCCGGTTAGTCACAACCTCAAAAGTAATCAAATGAAGAAGATAACTATCGTAAGAGTTACGTCGAGTCAGTGTAATGCTTCTGTAATGGAAATGAGGTTCTGATGTGATTGATTGTCACTGAAATTTTCAGAGACTATATCGATTCGATATTCTCAGCGTATGTATAATCATTACCTTAAATAATTTTGCTGACATGTTACTTGCAAATATCACATTAGGAATTTCCGAATAACAATTGATTCACAATTAGTGGAGATATGTATTCCTGCTGATAATTGCACATATAGCGTTCGTGTCCCGTCTGCAGTCAGTGTTCCATCGCCGTCCTCCGCTCTCAGTACTGACCTGGGACTCGACCGTCGGAGTCGGTCCGCTGTCGGTACTGACCTGTGACTCGGCGGGCGACAGTCCGCTCTCTGCAACAGACCTGTGACTAGAGCGTCGGTCGTTCTCGGTACTGACCTGAGACTCGACCGACGGTCGGTTCTCGGTACTGACCTGAGACTCGACCGTCGGAGTCGGTCGGCTCTCAGTACTAACCTGTGACTCGGCGGGCGACAGCAGGCGCAGCACGTCGATGTTGGGTATGGGCGGCTCGTAGTGGTTGATGGCCTCCTGAGACACCACCACCTGGTCCTCCAGCGTGAACACAGAGACTGCGCCGCCGCTCTGGCCGCACCAGATCTCACAGCGCCTGTGGAGAGTCGGGGGGGGGGGGGGGGTGGCCAGAGGTCACAAAAGCAGTCAGAAGTCAGCGGTCAGGGGACGGAGGTCAGCGGTCAGCGGTCAGAGGTCAGTCCGGCACTAACTAGTGGAGAGAGCGAGGCATGTCAGAGGTCATACGCAGCGCTGGCTAGTGCTATACTGTTGCGACCCTGGTGGCGCGATCGGTTAAGGCGTCGACCCGCGGTGCGGGTGGTGCCGGGTTTTGGGTTACCTGTTGTCGGCAGAGAAGACGGCCCGGACGCAGTGCAGCCGGCCGCCGAGGGTGCCCAGCTCCGTCATCACGAAACTGCCCTCGCCGCGGGTGGGGCTGTTGGGCAGCACGTCCGACCTGGAGGATGGGGCATCGAGCGGTGTCAGATGGACTTTTCGCGGCAATGTGACAGCAAAGTGACCGCTCATTGACAGACCAGTGGACAATTGGCACTAGGTAGTTATGTCACCAGACGGCCAAAACTGAGACCATAACGCGAACGCTAATGAAAACTGAAGAATGGAGAACAACGTCATTCATTGTTCCAATGAAAATGAAACAGTCTCAGCAGCTGATATAACGTCCAGCCGCTAACAGACCAACTGACAACACAAACCATCGAATACCGGTAGCGTCATCCCCTCCCCTAGCACACGCCCTTAAGCACACCTTAGTACACCTTAGCACCTCCCCTCCTTAGCCCACACGCCCACCGACAGTCCGAGTCTCTGACCTGGTGATGAACAGCCGACCGTTGGCCAGCGAGACGGCCACCCTGTCGATGGGAGTCAGCGGACAGATGTCCCGCACGGCGGCCGGCTCTCCGCTGTCCGGCTCCAGCGTGTACTGAAACACCTCCTCGAACGTGGTGGGACTGTGGAAGGGAGGGAGGGAGTGGTCACGGGGGTGAACGCAAGGTCACCAGCAACATGCTACGAACAACGACACCATAGATGTCAAACGACTTTAGATAAGGAAGCTGCAGGAAGATAGAGAGTTGGAAATTGTCAACCCGCGCCCCGAAGGGGTGGGGGTGGGGGAACGCCCCCCCCCCTGTCCTTTTCCGTCGATATCTCCTAAACGGCTGGAGATATCGCCACCAAACTTTCAGGACCCCTCCGGGCATCAATTTTACACATTGTGACAAAAATCTTCCAAAGTCTATGATAGGTTGGCCACAAATGACGTCAGAATTACGTCATATTCTGCCATTTTCGACCGAAAAGACCTTCACGAGAAGAGCTGTCAGGCCTACAGTTTTGAAGATACAGAAAAATGATCGCGACATTAAAGGTGTAAAATTGACAGGGCTACAAAACTGCTATCTCGGATTTTTGAAATTTTTGAGTTTTGACCCAAAAAAAAATAAAAATGCAATTTTTTGGATATATTAGCCAAAAAATCCAAAGGAGTTTTTTGAGTTTCGAAAAAAAAAAAACGGAATATAAGTGAAAGTACCTACCGTCTTCTATCTACATACCAAATTTCAGATTGATATCTCGTTTCTTGGCCAAGTTATAGCGAAAAAAAAAAAAACTGTTCAAAAATGATGACGTCAAATTTTCAAACTCAATTTTTGGCAATTCTAGACCACGTAGGGAAAAACAAAGACCACCATTGGACTCCCCGTGACGAGCTGCATCGAATGGATACCCATTTTATGCAAAAATATCAACTTTGAAATTTGACCTAATTTGACCTGACCTTCACCAAAACGTGACCTAAGCTGGCCCCAAAAGCTGCCTGACCCACATAATCGCATTTGTCATGTAAAATGAACCATAAAACATGTATCACACGACACTTTCATATTGTGACCCCCCAGTGACCTGACCTCTGTGACCTGACCTGGTGTTAGTGACCTCAGATAGCGAAGTATGTGTTTCACGAACAATGTTCCATCGATGGTTTTCAATAACTTACCAATTTTCTCGATTTCACAACACATTTCTTGAAATGCCTGTGAACGGTGAAAATCTGACCTTTGACCTGACCTGTGACGTCATCAGTTTGACCTAGGTCAATGAAATTTGGTCACAAGGTAGTTCCCCGGTGGGGCTATCGAACGCCGTTTGAATTTTGAAAATCGGCCGGTAAATTTCCGAGATCTTAGGGGGGGGGCGAAACGCCCCCCCCCCCCCACGGGTGGTAGGGTCCGCCGGTAGCCCTACGGGGCGCGGGTTAAAATTTGAGACAAACTCCAGCGAACCTCAATTCAGCTTAAATATTTGTCAAAATACACATTCCAGCCGACTTTGATCTCCGTAGTTTCCGTAGTTCCTCCGTAGTTTGGATCTCCGTAGTTAAGCGTGGGACACAAAGTTAGGTTCAAATAACAGAACATTCCTGCTCACTTCTTAATCGCGTTATGGATGGCTGCCTGGATAAACGGGGAACGTCTGCAATAGCCTATCTTCACTGAACTATGTCCCGAGGTCAGTAAGTGTACCACAACTGACGAGAATCTCCCGATGATGGGTACAACTCACCAGTATCCCCTGATTTGTCCGCGGCTGTCCCCGACCCAGACACTCTCGCCCACCACGGCGGTGGCAGTGGCCGGCTGGGGCAGCAGCAGACTGTGGCAGTCGACAGCCTGCTGCTGCCGACAGGAGAGCACGTCCAGCAGGCAGCCGCTGCGAGCCACCCACACCTGGTGCTCCGCGCCGCCTGTAAAACAACACAGACAACACTGTAACACCAGACAGAGAGCCACCCACACCTGGTGCTCCGCGCCGCCTGTAAAACAGCACAGACAACACTGTGACACCAGACAGAGAGCCACCCACACCTGGTGCTCCGCGCCGCCTGTAAAACACAGTCAGACAACACTGTAACACCAGTATAACGCCTTTTGGGGCGACTAACGGAGCGAGCGAGAGGGTGAGCCTTGCACGTGCGGAATTTCGAGGGGGTACCTCCAACTGAGTTATGCACGGCACCCTACTAACCGGTCTCTAGCGATGTGCCAAATTTGGGCACAATCGGCCCAGCCGTTCTCGAGATCTGGAAACGGCACCCTGCACGTGCGCACGTGCAAAATGGGTCCCAACTGACTTGTGCACGGCACCCTACTAACCGGTCCCAAACTGTGTACCAAATTTGAGCGCAATCGGTCGAGCCGTTCTCGAGATCTGGAAACGACCCCTGCACGTGCGCACGTGCAGCAGCACCCCAACTCTGGCACATGGATATGCAGTGCCTAGTGGGTGCCTACCTACATGCCAACTTTGAGCGCAATCGGCCAAGTAGTTACCGAGATATTGCAACAATTGCAAAACTGACACCTCTTCGTTTTGCACGTGGCACGTGCGTCAGGGGTCACCCACATGCATCGGGAATAGTCCAATACTTGGTAGAAGGAATGAAGCTACCCTACAAAAATTACCGCATGTAAATCGGTCAAGTGGTTGCTGAGATATAAGCCTCGCAAAAGCGTCCGCACGGCCGGCCGGCCGGCCGGCCGGCCGCTCATACTCAGAAATTTCCGTTAATCTAAGGAAAGACTCCGCTCGCTTCGCTCGCTCCGTAACCAGACAGAGAGCCACCCACACCTGGTGCTCCGCGCCGCCTGTAAAACAACACAGACAACACTGTAACACCAGACAGAGAGCCACCCACACCTGGTGCTCCGCGCCGCCTGTAAAACAACACAGACAACACTGTCACACCATACAAAGAAACACCCACACCTGGTGCTCCGTGCCGCCTGTAAAACAGAACAGACAGACAACACTGTCACACCAGACAGCGAGCCACCCACACCTGGTGCTCCGCGCCGCCTGTAAAACACAGCACAAACAACACCGTGACACCAGACAGGAGAGCACGTCCAGCAGGCAGCCGCTGCGAGCCACCCACACCTGGTGCTCCGCGCCGCCTGTAAAACAACACAGACAACACTGTGACACCAGACAGGAGAGCACGTACGGCAGGCAGCCGCTGCGAGCCACCCACACCTGGTGCTCCGCGCCGCCTGTAAAACACAGTCAGACAACACTGTAACACCAGACAGAGAGCCACCCACAACTGGTGCTCCGCGCCGCCTGTAAAACACAGTCAGACAGCACTGTGACACCAGACAGAGAACCACCCACACCTGGTGCTCCGCGCCGCCTGCGAGACAGATAATAGTCAAAACTCCCACTAGACACTACAGTCAACACAGCTGCTAAACGTACACTATTCGGCTAACTACTTCTACTCATAAATACATTACACGACGCACAATATCGCAGCACCAAATATCTATGTCCACTGACCCGGTCACTGACCTACCCACGTGACCCTTCACCCAGCCACTGGCCTGTCACACTGCCCTGTCACCCCATCCAGTGACCCAGCAATGACCCATCACCCCACCACCACCTGTACTGACCTGTGACAGTGAGCGCCGAGGCGGTGAGCGCCGCCAGCGGCTGCTCCAGCGGTACCACGTCCCGCAGCTGAGTCAACTCCGGCGCCGCCGCCGTGCTCACCAGCTGGCTGGCCGAGGGCCGCGAGCGCGGCTGCTGGTCCCAGCACAGCACCATCACGTCCAGCAGGTAGGTGGCCGTGCTGGCCTCCTGCGGGGAGAGCAGCAGGGTGGTCAGGAGGCGCAGAGCAGCGTTCGCAGCGAAGAAGCGAAGGCGCAGAAGAACGACATTCAGTCGGAAGGGGTGGGAACTTCTGATCCCCCAAAATCCCTTCTGTTTTTGGATCTTTCAGCATTTCCGCACATAAAATGTCCCTTCTCTGTACGGTGTATTAGTGGTTAGAGCAGACTTCCCGCAGATGTTGTTCACCCTCAGTCAACGTCTTTAAGAACAGGCTGGATGCGTGCTGGGAGTCGATCTGGTACTCCATTCCTGCTACCGACTGAGAGCAGATTGAACTTAAGGAAATCGGCGAGAACGGGCCATACAGGACACCATGCCTCTTGTCCCGGTAACGAGAAGTTGAAGATGAAGATAAAAATGAAATACACAGTGGTTGCTATGCCATTGGAGTCACATTTCAGAGTGTCATTCGAAAGACGCCCGACGGGCATTGTTAAAGAGACTTGGATAGACGGATACTGGTACCTAACGATAGTGTGCTAAGAACTTCCAACTCGTTCGTTAACTGATGGATTCACCGGAGCGACAAAGACTCAACCACAAAGAATGATTCGGGATCGGGTTACCAATACAACTGACCAATACTAATTGACACTTCGAATCAATCTAACGATAACTCGTTCGTTTCAGCCCTCCATAGCAGCAGCAGTATGTGTTTTGTTTGATGGAATCAATCCCTGAACAGCATGGCAACAGTGCACGTTCGGCGCTGCGAGTGCTAATTGAGACCCGCCGCTTCGTACTGGTCGACTGGTGGTCGCTGACCGTTCCATAAAAGATCGAAAAAGTATAGCTGGCGAAACATAAAACAGCTTTTGACGAAGGCAGGTTGAAGTTCATCGGACAGGTCAACGTCCGAGCTAGACTACAGCAAAAGAACCTAGAGTAAAGCTGTGGATTAAGGACAATTTTAAATCTGCACCGATTCCGTCGCAAGTAAAAACTGCGATCAGACAGCTTTAAAGGATGGACGGGTGACTCAGTGATCTGGATTAAACCCAGTTCACCCTTTAGAGACGCCAATGCTGCCCAGTGACCCTGGCAAGATAGAAGACGTTCTAGGTCAAAAGCTTTGTTATTGTAGCAGAACCAATACAAAACCTAGCCCCGATCTGCCCACTCGAAGGTGTTTATATGTTTATAACTCACTGCAGTCGGGCTTACTAGCTCGATCCAGGCTATTATTGACTCGAGCTGACCCAACCGTTGGGTCCAAGCGCCCCGCTGCTGGTATAATTGTGTCAAGGTGTTGCCGTGTCCGGGTACACACCAGGTCGAAGCACCTGGCGCTGGGTCGCTGTGCCCCACAGTTACTGCGCCCCCGGCCTGGCGCTGTGTCCCCATGACCCCGCCTGTTTAGGTGTCCTGGCGTCCCGGGCTTCTGGTGTCCCGGAGCCCCCGTCTGTTTGGGCGTCCCGGCGCCCCGGTCTGCTCTGGCACCCCGGCGCCCCCGGGCGTACCTTGATGGTGAGCGGCGGCCGGCGTCCCTCCAGGATGTGCTCCTTGACCGACTCGTAGCCCTCGAACGGCGGGTGCAGCGAGATCAGCTCGTACAGGAACATCCCGAACGAAAAACAGTCCACCTGCGGACGGAGTGCGCATTGGGCAGAGGTCAGAGCAAACAGGAATCAAATCAATCTGCTAGGACGACGAAAACACAGTAATATACTCGCTATCGAAACCATCTGGACCATCATCGGAAAGACCCACCGCCGCCATTAATCCGACTTTTTCACAGCAATTGATTCACTGCATTCAGTCATTGTGCCCATTTTGCCATGCATCAATATGATCCTCGTCTGCTGATGTCCACTGTCTTGTAACCACCATCTATACGCACGCCTTTGTGCACACTTGTTTGATTATTAGGGTTTATTCTTTGCACCAATGTCTCACACATGACTTATACCACCTTTTTCAGTATAGCACTATGCCCCACTTTATCGTCCCTGTACTAATCTTTTCCGTACTCCACTCTGGCGTCCCTGCACTGACCTTTTCCGTGTACTCCTCCTCCCCGTTGTAGCGCATGATCTCCGGCGCCATGAAGCCCTCGGTGCCGGCGAAGCCTTTGGTGCCGGCAGGCAGGGTGGACCGGCTGATCCCTACGGGCGGACGGAGAGGGTAAGGGTGTTTGCACGGACCTCAAACACCGGCGGGATACACAGCGGGGGCAGCTGACATTCACAGCACTGCTAGGCGTAGGCGGGGAACGCCGGAAATCTTTATTCTAATGTGCTCGCAATGCTGCTATTGGAAGTATCTATACTCAATTCTTACAAACATTTGTATGCATATATCTGCAGCGTTACATAAAATGTTGACAGATGAAACTTGAAGAGGTCAATTTCAGCATTTAATGCTTCATGGTAGACCACCCATCCCACAACCATCCCCAGACCTTTCCGGCCCCTCCAGGCCTTTCAAGTTCCATTGCCTCCTCTTTCAGCCTTCCCAGTCCTCCCCTCCCCTCTCCCCGGCCTCTCTCCGCCCCTCTCCCCAGCCCCGCTCACCATAGTCGGCCAGTTTGACCTCGACGGGCACGTGCTGCCGCTGGAACGGTGACGGCAGCGACCAGACCAGCACGTTCTCAGATTTGAGGTCGCGGTAGATGATGTGCTGCTGGTGCAGGTACTCCAGTGCCTTGGCCACCTGGTGGCGGGGCAGAGAAACACAGGTTCAGCGGCCGGCCTCGCACAGAAACAATCGGAGTCCACGGAATAGGCGACAAGGAAAATAAAAACTGATAGAAGAAGCTCCCAGCGTGACCCGTCCCTGCCCTGAAGCTGCAGGATTCCTTGTATGGCCGGGAGCGTAGGTCGGCACTAACTCTTCATCACCCTCGCCTGATGGACCCATGGTCATGATTGGACACCCATGAAATTGCAGTAACCGTTCGTGACCTGCAGAAGACGCCCTGTATGGCCGAAGACGGCAGTCCTGGCACCCCCATGACCCTTCAGTGGTTCTCCTCAGACCAGCAGTAGGACGCCCTGTATGGTCGAGGACGCACTGGCGATCCTATACCCCCGTGACCCGTCCCTGACCTGCAGCAGGACGCCCTGTATGGCATCGGTGGCACTGGCAATCCTATAACCCCGTGGCCCGTCTCTGACCTGCAGCAGGACGCCCTGTATGGCCGATGGCGGCAGCCGGGCGCCCGAACGCCGGTAGTGCGCCAGAGTGGTGTCCAGAGCGCCCATCGGAGCCAGCTCCAGCACCAGCGAGAGCGGACTGGTGCACAGACCCACCAGCGGCACTGTAACAGACACAAACACACGAGAAGGGGTTGTTAGTCGTGTAACAGCCCAGCGTCCAGCAGAGTTATTGAGACGAATAGAGCGTCAGGTGAATAGCAATTTCGTTTGTTTATTGGGGCCCGCGCCCCAGTGTGTGTGTGTGTGGGGGGGGGGGGGGTTGAACACCCCCGCCCTCCGTTTTTTTCGTAGATATTTCAAAAATGGCGGTGCGGAGCGCCGCCGTTTTTGGTACACCTTATCATACATCAATTCTACACATGTTGTGAAAATTTCAGACCAAGGTCATTCAAGGTCAGGTCACCAGGTCACTATGTCTGCCATAGCTACACCGAGTGACCGATCACTTTGAAACCTTCAGCGATTGATGAGGGTAACAGTATCTATACAATGTATATCTCGGAATTTTGATATCGGTGACCTAAGGTCAGGTCAATTTTGCGGCCTCTCCATTTTAAAGGTAGTGTGCCACCTTTGAAAGATTTCCCATTTTATTTTTCCTAGGATAAGAAGCTTCTGTTTTTACCTAATATCGCAAAAAAAAAATCAAAAATGGGCCTGGAATAGTGCCTTTTTCGCCTAAAAGTTTATCGGTTTTTCTATATGTATAACAACTGTAGTGGGCCGACCTGCAAACAGGCGTCGGCAACAATCGCGAATGCGGCGCACATGTGACAATAAGCAAAGGTCATTATAGAGTTACGACGTACGGGAATGAGTTATCAGCTGTGTAATCGTAGACAACACAATGTCGAGCCTTAAACTGTAAGCCTGTATTGGTATTGTTTCTTTTATTTGGTTGTCGAACATTATTTATGGTTTGAAATATGATTTTATGTAAAATAATTGATATGAAAAAGCCGTCTCTTAAGTTATGACCCCATTTCACCACACGCAAGTGGCAGAAATGACAATGATCATCTGACGCATTTTTCTTGGCCGAAGTCAGAGCGCAAGGCCCGACGCACCACCACCGCACCACAAAGTATGAGCAGAAGCCGCGCCCAAAGCCAGGGCCCCGGTAACGTGAGGTAGCCGAGTCGGGGCAGCGTGCGCTGACCCAAGCCGGGGCCGCAGCTTTGGGCGCGGTCTACCGCATCCCCGCGGGCAGCCCCAGGCTATCACATGACACCGGGAGGACGCGCGGCCCCGGCTTGGGTCAGCGCACGCTGCCCCGACTCGGCTACCTCACGTTACCGGGGCCCTGGCTTTGGGCGCGGTCTACCGCACCACCTAACAGGCGTGTTCGAAACCGCAGGAGATGATGATGAACGGGTTTATCGAAACTTGATTGGATGAGCATATCAGTAATAGGGATTTCAGTCTGTGCATTTATTGTTCATATTGGTGTGAAATGTGGTTGGGGTACGACCGACAACCCGTCGGGGCGAATTTCGCACTGGGGTACTCAAAATTTGAAGAATTTAAGACGTTTCCATGAGTTTTAAAGGTATGGATAAGTTCTAAAAATCCGGTTCTCCTTATCTGGGCCATTAACTCCATACGGTCCAGGAAAGCTGGCACACTACCTTTAAGACGTTTCCATGAGTTTTGAGGGTATGGATAAGTTCTAAAAATCCGGTTCTCCTTATCTGGGCCATTAACTCCATACGGTCCAGGAAAGCTGGCACACTACCTTTAAGTCAATAGGAGAAAATTGAAAAGCGACTGTTTTGCACGAACGCCATTCTAGACACTCTTAAACATCGAGATGTAGGTAAAATTGACACACTGAACCGGAAAATGGCAACTGTGACCCCTCGTTATGTCCCCGAGGTCATCTCAGGTCACGAACAGAATCTAACAGTTTTTCGCTAATAACTTCTGATAGAGGCGTGCTAGAGCGCTGAAAACGCCTTAGATGTGTTCGGCTCGACGTTGCGGATCGACTGATATGCAACATGACCTTTTCCGGTCAGGTCATGACCTTGACCTGAGGTCAAATTTTCAAGTTGACCTTTCAAGGTCAACTTATAGTTCATTCGACAATCGACGCGTCTCGAAGAGAGGAACACGATGCTGGCAAAAGTAAATGTCCTGGCTCTTTTGAGTCAAAAGTTATCGCCAAAAAACGATTTTCGTAAAAACGGCTATTTTTGGAGTTTTTGCCCTGTGAGGATAAACCGTTGACCTGAGGTCAAATCTGAGAACATTACTCAGAAAGGTCTGTAAAAGGGCTATCGAATGCGCTTTTCCGCGGCGCTGTAGCTCTATCGGTTCCCGTGATAGCCGTTGGCAATTTCCAAAATGTTGAAATAGTCAACATTTTACCTTTGGTGACATCTGGTGACCTGACCTTTGACCTGACCCAAAAAATGACCGAGGTGTTTTCGTCCTTATTTTGGATGTTCTTTCGATTGCCGCTTACCGCGTATCGCTACGTGGCCCAGGAGCCGAGTTAGAAGGGGGGGGGGGGTGTTCAAACACCCCCCACACCAGGTCGTGGAAAATCCAGACTGACACTGGGGCGCGGGTTAAGGGCGCGCCGACTACAAGGTCATTTTGCGCCCATGAATAACAATTTCGAGCCTACCAAGTTTATAACACGTCGTCACGGGAAAACAGCGGATAGGGAAAAATGCGAAAAAATATTTTAAGCAACTAGCATTGACCCGGCAGGCGGTGGGCCTCCCGGCCACCTTCCGCGCGGTGGGGGGGGGGGGGCATTTTTGCCCCCCCCCCCCCGTATCTCCGAAACTACTGGACGGATCCAGAAAATTCAAACGGCGTTCGATAGCCCTGTCAAATTTGTCGAAGGAAACCAAATTTCATTGACCTCGGGGTCACCGATGACGTCACAGGTCAGGTCAAAGATCAAATGTTTCACCGTTCACGGGGCTTCTAGGGAAAGCGCTATAACACCGAGTAAAACGCATTTTGTCGAAAATCAGCGATAGGGCGTCAGTTGTATAGTACATATGTTGCTATCAGAGGTCACTGGTCATACCAGGTCAGGTCACAGGTCAGGTTACCAAAGGTCACCAAGGGTCACCACATGAACCCAACTTTACTAATATTGTGAGATGCATGTTTTATGGCCAGTTTTCATTTCCAACTCAATGGTGTTGGTTATAACACCATCAGGTACGGTTTAGGTCACTTTCTGGTGGAGGTCAGGTCAAGGTCAGGTCAAAAAAAGGTCAAATTTTAAAGCTGATATTTTTGCATAAAATGGGTATTGATTCGATGCAGCTCGATGCAGCTATTTGTTTTGCGCTACGAGGTCTAGAATTGCTAAAAAATTGAGTTTAAAAATTTGACGTCATCAATTTTGAACAGTTTTTTTTTCGCTATAACTTGGCCAAAAAAGAGGTATCGATCTCAAATTTGGTATGTAGATAGAAGGCGGTAGGTACTATCACATATCTTCCGCTTTTTCGAAATTCAAAAAAACTTTTTGGATTTTTCGGCTATTATATTTAAAAAATCCATTTTTTAAGGGTCAAAATCCAAAAGTTTAAAAAATCCGAGATAGCAATTTTGTAGCCCTCTAAATTCTACACCTTTTATGTCTGAAATATTTTTCTGTGTCTCTAAAGCTGTAGGCCTGACAGCTCTTCTCGCGAAACCATTTTATGGGTCGAAAATGGCAGAAATGACGTCACTCTGACGTCATTAGCGTCCAACCTATCATAGGTTTTGGAAATTTTTTGGTCACAATGTGCAATAGCTATTCACGGGAGGGTACTGAAAGTTTGGTGACGATCGGCGCAGCGGTCTCGAGATATATCGAAAAAAAAACTAAGGGATGGGGGCAAAAAAAAAAAAATGCCCCCCCCTCACCGCCTGGAAGGTTAATGAGCTGTTTAATATGCAAGTCGCGAAAGCTAGAGCATCATTCAAACGGCAGGCGGATCGAGTTATCCACTTTAAAGCATACATTGTCATTCATCCGAGCCAATGATCACCCCCATAGACCTCCGTCTGAGTCCCTCTGTGTCTTTTGTCCCTGCGAAGTCCTACCGCCGGCTCCCTCACCGATGTAGGGATGTCGCAGTGTCACCAGGATGTTGAGCTCCTGCCGGGCCGTGCAGTAGGCCTTGCAGGCGTACTGCAGCGGGTCGCGCTCCCACTTACTCTGGGCAGCCTGTGGACACGGGGCACAGAGAGTTACACACGGAGGGTCAGATATACAGACGGTCAGACATACGGACGACTAGGCATACGGACGGCTAGACGCGCGGACGGCTAGACGCACGGACGAGCAGGCGCACAGACGGCATATAATATATGCCGCTCTACAGACTGTGTGCTTAATATATTGTAAGCACACGGCTGCAGAGCGCTCATAACCTTTACATGTAGGCACATCAAAGAAAGGTCAACAGTGCGCAGAACCTATGACTGCCGGCATTGTCATTGAAGAGAGAAAAATAAACTGGATATGGGAACCGGCAAGCAAAAACAGCGAAGTTATGTGCGACACCTCATTATTCACAAATGTGCCTTCAGCTGAACGTAATGTGGGATCAGGAAAATGGTCTCATATTATCGTCGTATTAGCTGTGATTAGACAGCCGTCGCCGACATTGTTCGTACGTACCTTGTAGGCAGCCACTGCTGACGATCGCGCATCCTCTCCTGGATCGCTGGGCTGCAGCATCTTCATCGCAACGTCCATATACCTGACGAGCACACATAAATGAGAACACGCTACACGCGGAATAAATGAGGTGCAGCTTTGCCACGTGAAGCATTAGACGAGTTTTACGCAGTTCAACATATTTTGAATACTGACTTATAACACTATGCAACAAAAAATGAAACATTTTCTGTTCCTGGAAAGCGACCGAATTTTTCTTATTCATTGGGTCCTATTATAACCGAAATGGGCATTAGTTTTGATCTGAAAATGCTTTTCCGGTTTTCAGAGACGATTTTCGATTTTTGGCCCCGAAATTCGGTTTTTGGCCCACCGTGTCCGATGTAATTGAGTAATCGACTCGCGGTAACTTTCATCGCCTTTCCTATGCCACAAGCTTTCGAATGATATCTGGTTTTGCATATTTGCGTGCAAAAATAACGTCATAAATCTATGTTAAAGTAAGAAAATGTTGAAATTTTGTAAAAATTTGACATTTTTTCGATTTCATTTCAAAATAGAGGAAAAACTAAAGGCCCTATCCAAATTCTGAGCCCAGTTCCTTGAAGAGCATTCAATTTCCGTTCGGAAGGTACCTTTTTAGTGCATTTTATCGGATTCCTGTGGCGTCCAGATTGAGTTAACCTAAACACATATCCTAAGTCATATCACATAGCATTAATCTGATAACGTATGTTAACGCCATAGGATCAACGAGGGGTTAACTGAGGTCATGTTGTTGACCCCTTGTGACCTCGGGTCACACGCAGGAACTTACTTTTGAGCAGTCCTGTCGCTCAGAATCTTGATCTGTACCTCCATTTGTTAGAATGATTCTTCATACACTGAACACATATTGTCATGGAAATGGCTGGGGGCCCGTTTTTCAAGTGACTCAATCTGGACGCCACGGTAAACCGATAAAATGCACTAAAATAGTACCTTCCGAACGGAAATTGAATGCTCTTCAAGGAACTGGGCTCAGAATTTGGATATGGCCTTTAGTTTTTTCTCTATTTTGAAATGAAATCGAAAAAAATGTCAAATTTTTACAAAATTTCAATATTTTCTTACTTTAACCCTAGAACGCCTAGGAGGGGGGGGGGTTGTATCAACCCCCCCCTGACGTTTTTTCGAAGTGCACGCTAAACGGCTTGTCGTAGCGGGCTGAAATTTTCAATACCCTCTGGGGCAACCTTTGCGCATCTTTTGCCGAAAAAAAATTGATCGGGTCATGTCAGGTCACGGAGTTATGACGTCATAAGAGGTACAGCCTCCGGCCGGATTTTCACAAACTGAGTGCCAACGCCCGAGGTTTCCTGCCGGTGGTACGGACATCGGTTGATGGATCGTGATGAAACTTCCCATGCATGTTGGGGCAAGTATTGGCTATCATATGGTATAAGAAATTTGACCGGGTCAGGTCAGGTCACGGAGCTATGACGTCACAAGAGGAACAGCGTCCGGTACTATTTTTGAAAAGCGCCCGAACCACTATTTTGCTAATTCTTGTCACCTCAATGGGAATATGCAGCAATATTAGCTTCTATAGGGAGCAAATGGACCTCCCAAATCCAAAAATACAATCAGATTTCAAAAATTTAAATTTTGATTTTTCGAATTTCTGCCGCCGACTGTGACCTTGCCGACTTCCGGCGCTCCCAACGCGCCATTTTTAGAGCTAGGGAAACGAAATACATACCAAACGATAGAGAATTGATCAAGGAACACGATAGTGAAGGTTTCAAGTCGATATCTCCCACCGTTTTGCCGCAATCGCCGCCGAAAGTTGAGAAAAGTCTATTTTTCCGAAAATTTGACCTTTGACCGGTCAAAAGTAGGTCAAATGTTGACCTAGGACCAAAAAATATACCACCAATCGCGAGATCTCGTTGAGAGCAATCCGTTGGTTTTTTCCGCTAAGCTCTACGACCTTCCGTTTCGAAACGCCAGGGGGGGTCGTAACCCCCCCTGGTCGTTCGTGTTATGAGAAATGGCCTGGTCGTGCGAGGGTTAACATAGATTTATGACGTTATTTTTACACGCAAATATGCAAAACCGGATATCATTCGAAAGCTTGTGGCATAGGAAGGGCGATGAAAGTTACCGCGAGTCGATTACTCAATTACACCGGACACAGTGGGCCAAAAACCGAATTTCGGGGCCAAAAATCGAAAATCGTCTCTGAAAACCGGAAAAGCATTTTCAGATCAAAACAAATGCCCATTTCGGTTATAATGGGACCCAATGAGTCCAAAAAAAATCGGTCATTACTCAGGAACAAAATGACTGTTGCATAGTGTAATAAGCGAATAATTAACTTGACGTAAATGATGTCTTCCGCGTGTCTTCGGATGATCCGCCATATAACGTATCCTAACAAATACCACTATGTCTTAACTTCAAGGACACACCACATCCCACGCAAGTCATCGTATAAGTTTGAAACATATTTCCTGTTCATTATACGGAGCAATGAGCATATCTTGCAACGCAGAGGCAATGAACCATTCCTACTTCCTCCTCGCATAACTAACAAAATTCGACGCAGCTCCATGCCACGCCATGCCACACCACACCATATTATTATATAACGCAATACCATACCATACCATACCATACCACCATTCCACAATTACACACCACACCACGTCAATCCACGCCATACCACACCTCACAAACCACACCACACCATACCTGCCGTCGTGGCGTCCCCGGTAGGAGGCTCGGAACACGAAGCCGAAGGCGCCGCGGCCCAGCATAGGTCCGCGCTGGACGCTCTCTGGGCGGATCAGACGCCGCTCACCCACGTCCAGAAACACCTGACGGGGCGGAGGGGCGCGCGTTAGTGGTAGACAGTCTGACGGGAAAATGGGATTGGCTGGCCGGCTCAGACAATTATTTGAACGGAGGCAATTTTTGAAGTGAAAAACAATAAAAGGAGTCGATGCTGGCCAGAAGATAATAATGCGTAATACATAAACCAGCAATGACAGAATGCAAATATAAAACACACAGCTGATGTTAAAAAACATGCATCACTTATCATTCCTGGGTAGCGCTCGAAACTTGTAGACACACCGCACTTAACTTCCTCATCGCGCTCTGAAGCGATTCCGTGTCATTGCACCCCACTCGTACGCTCTCATCCCCACCTTTCCCGCGCTCCCTCCGTTTCCTCCACCGCAGCTCCCTCACCGTGTCGGGCGCCACCTGTGCCAGCAGCAGCGGCCCGTGACTGGGACACTCCACGTGCCGGCTGCTGTAGCTGGCCAGGATACACTCCTCCACCAGGAAGGCGTACACGGTGGGTGGGGGCGGCGGCGGCTCGGCCGGCGGCGGCGGCGGCGGCGGCGCGCCGGCCTCCGGACAGCCCTGGGCCGACGGGTTCCGGCTGGAGGGCGTACTGTCCGGACCGACGCCGCTGTCACCGTCCGAGTGTTCGGCAGGGTCGGCGGCCGGCCGCTGACGCACCACCTCCGGCAGCCAGTCGTCCTGGAAACGGGGAGACGGGATCAGTGAGAGAGGCGGGATAGGTGAGGGATAACAGCAAAACACCGTTACAGCCATTCGTCCTGTATAGGGAGAGACAAAATGGGTGAATGGTAACACAGTTACAGCCAGTCGACCTGTTCAGGGAGAGACGAGATAGGTGAGTGGTAACAGTAAAACCCAGCAGTGCAGCCAGTCGTCCTATGAGGGATAGGAAACATGGGTGAGTGGTAACAGCATAACACAGCTATAACAGCCATTCGACCTGTCAGGGACAGACGGGTGGTGGTCACAATAGGGGTGAAACACGGGCAGCAGCAAATCTGTCCTATAGCAGGATGACGGCCGGTCAACCTGATAAAATATCGGTGATAATAATAAAACAAAGATTGGAACAGCACTGTTGCATAGAACCGGGAGCACGGGATAGACGGCGGTAGGGGGAAAATATACACGGACAGCAACAGCCAGTCGCCCTATAGATTATAGCACACAGACAGGATAGACGAGCCACAATAAACCCAGCGGCTGGGTACAGCCGAACGAACGGCCGTCGGCGAGACAGAGTCAAACAGGGTCTAAATGGCGCAGCAGATGAATGCATATTGAACAGATTAAAACAAACGCCCCAGATTACCATGCAATGAATTCCTATTTCCACATTAACCGAGGAAGCCTTCAAGACTAATCAAAACTATCGAATAATATAACCTATTGAACAGAAAGTAGTTACTAAACAATCAGCGCTTGTCGAGGTTCAATCGGTATTGAACCGTTTGAACTATTTGTAACAGTCAAAAACGGATGACTGATCGTCCCTTCCACTCGCGGGCGTCTTTAAACCTACTTACAGTAATCGCCTACCTAAATATCGCACGACCGGCTAGCACTCACTGAACTTCCCATAATGTCTGTCCAACGACCCGGCGCGCAGTTCGAGCACGTCAAACAACTAACTCTAAGCCACCCCTTCAACTCAACTTATTTATCCTTGTAAATAACCAAGGAGAGGCGACGGGTTCGAGCGCTTCAGGCAGACTCAACGCCGCAACAGATAAAAATATCCTGTTTGCCCGACCACCGAGTACCAAGTGACGAAGCTACAGCCTCTAGGCAGGCGCCGACGACGCAGCAGGGCACGGAGGTGGGCCGTGGAGCACCGAAACAGTCACCCAACTCCACCAAACCCCCGGGGGTGTAGCTAAGACCGCGGTCAGCACGTCCCGCTCACCTGGTCGGCGGGAAGCGGCGGCGGCGGCGGGGAGGGCGGCGCCGGCGGCGGCTCCAGGCCGTCGTCCTGGTCGCCGCCGGCGGGCAGACAGGCCGGGCAGGGCAGCAGGCGGGTCACCAGCAGTCGGCCCTCGGAGGTGTGCACGAACCGGGTCCCTGTGGACCGGGGTCGGAGGCCGTCAGTGGTCGGGGACCGACGGCAGGGGAGGTGGACGGCGGCTGTCATTGGAAGTGGGAACGCGCAGACTGGGCGAAAAGGATGCGAGCAAAACTATAGCCTAGACGAAAGTGAAGAACACATGCGATGAAAAAATATCAGAGAAGAGTCCACTTATGACAGGATTTCCTGCCCTTACCTGAGCCTGACACAAATACAAAAATCACAAATTCGTATCTGCCACGACTAAGATCTAAGCCTCCCGTATCGTGTCTGCCCCCCCCCCCCCTCCCGGTTCAGCTCACTGACCTAGTGTGGGGTACCAGTCCTCCAGCAGGGTGTCGATGTGGTCCACGGCAACCGCCAGCAGCTTGGAGGCACACTCCGGGTTGGGCTCCAGCACTGCCGACTGAATACCTGGACAGGGGAGACCGAGGTCAGGTCACGGCAAATGGCCGTGGTAACTGGGTATCACGGTAACAGATCACGGTAACAGATCACAGCAATAGGGCATCATAACAGGTAACAGTAATTACTGGTCGTGATAACTGAGCTCATTGTATGTGGTAAAAGCGGCAGCAGCCGGCCGACTACTTAGGATCTATGTGATAATTGCATCCTTTTTCCAGTTAAACAATATTTACCAAGACTTTCAGCTCAACACTAGCATTAATTAGCTACCATCAGCCCACCATAAGCAGCAATGTCACCAAAACATCACCAGCACCGTCACGCCATCACCAACATAATCACCAACATAATCACCATGCGCACCACCACCTTAACCATCAACAAGCCACCACCCCTCCCGCTTGACACCGGTACGGACCGTGCCCCGTACAGTAGGTCTATTAAAAAAGTCCCCAGCACCAGTGGGCGCTGCCTTCGCTGAGCCGAACCCCCGTCTGCCTGTCCCATATCGCGCCGGGTTCAGGTCAGGTAGGGTCAGCGGGACCGCTCGGTCCGGCCCGCGGGCGGTGGACGGGCGGCCGGTAACGCTTTCCGCCAGCCAGCTGTAGAACCCAACAAACGGGACGGCCACCGCTCAGCGCAGCGAAACCGGTGTTTAACAATGGCAGTAGATGTTCATGGCCACAATGATTATAGAGATAGTCATTGTTAGCCCGTGCCCCACAGGAATGCCTAGACTCTCACGCTCTGTTGGAGGGGAAATGGGGATTGAGCATCAATCTTATAACTCAGCTTTGGGCATTTAAGTGGCATTCGAAGTAGCGTCAAAAGTAGCAAAAAGAAGAAGAAAAATACTTAAGCCAATTTAAGATCGGGTCAGAACCAGAGGTCATGTCACCAGAGGTCATCGGTGGTAAAATTTTGCTTGTTCAGGGTGCGTTGCGCTCACCGGTGCATTGGGTTTCCAATTTCCATGGAAACATCAACAGACTCGGAAGCTCGCAACGCTAGCGTGGAGCCGAATTCATATCAACCGCCGCAACAATGCAGCAGCGCAGCGCAGCGTGCTGCAGCGTGGGGCCGTGAAACACCGCCCAGGCCCCCTGTCTCCCCCTAATTCCTGTCATCCTTCCCACTCTGAAATCGACCGAGCCTAACCTAACACAACAATCAGCTCGTTTACCGCTATGTCTGAATAATATTGTCGGATTTAATTAAGGTGAACGGCTTAGCACGTAAATAACAGCAACTGTCACCATTGGTATTATGAGAAAACTTTGCTTTTCCACAAACACCTACAAGTTTTTAGCTTAAAACTTACTCGAAATTAATTTTACCAGCCTCGTGTTCCTCTTATCAAAACGCTTCGAATGAATCAGAAGTTAATCTTTAAAGGTCATTTGAAAAATTTGGCCTATGTTCAAAGACATGACCTGACCAGAAATGGTCATGATGCATAGCAGGATATTAGGTCCGTATCGTGGAACTTTAGATGATTTCATAACTTAAGCATGTCTATCAAAAATAATTATTATATGGCTCCATGTAGGCTGGGTGTGTGATCATTCTCACGAGTATGTTGAACGCAACTGATAATTTTCTGTTGGCCACAATTTCTATATTTAATTTATCCTCCCGGATTTCATATTTTTATTAATGACACCTTGACGATGTCGAGAAAAAAAAACGCTTAGGAGATTTAACAGCCTGAGATATATTCAGTATAAGGAAGGGTCAAGGGTGCTAGATTCCTTCCGTCCTAGCTATCCTCAGGAAAAAAAAAAAACAATCCGCATCGCCCCTAGTCTTCATGCTTCCCTCTCTGGACTGGAGGTCACCCCGCTAGCCAACCTGTAGTTGATGTCAGATCAATTCCAGGCAGAAATGTGCACGGATCCGAGTGATGGATCTATGATCTCAGTGGATCTCGAGGCAAATTGCAGGTTCGGATCTATGATCCCACAGAATCCGGCGTGAAAAAAGTATCCTGGATCTATGATCTCACAGGATCTGACGATAAACCAAGAACATGGATCTTTGATCTGAGTGGATCCCACCATGCATAACATTTGGAACCAGGTTTCCAAGTGTTTCTATGTCAATAAGTGCCATAAAACTATGGATTATGACGTGTTATCACATTAAATCACTAAGTAAGAACGTTTGTGAGTTGCAACGAGTGATCTTTGGGATTTCTGTGTTGACCAAAAATAAATGAGGATCTGTGATCCCACTGGATCTCAAGCAAAAATACTAGACTCGGATATATGATCCCTACGGATCTCTCGATAAATTAAAGAGCTGGATCTATGATCCCCACGGATCCGAGATCAGGATCCGTGGGATCAGATCTCAGATCCATTTTCTCGGATCCATGCACATGTCTGATTCCAGGACAAATAATTATCTTCGTGGTGACGGTTTGGGAGACGGCTGGACCGTCCCGACAGGGCAATCGTCCCACGGGAACAGTCTCGCTTCCGCAGATCACTGTCGCTGGCTCGCACAACCTAATTACTACACCAGAGCATAGTTATGTCATAGCTCTGCAAGGGCCTTTTCAGACCGAAAAAGATGGCTCCCAACAAAACAAACAATTTTCTCATTTAGTATTGTATCTCATCAAACACCACATGTTTTCAGAGTGTTTATTATGCGTTCCGTCCCAAAAAGCGCAGTTCAATTTTCTCCCATTGACTTAAACGATCTCCAAATTGACCCGGCCTTTCTGTCAACAATGTCAAAGTTGCAAAGTAAACGTTTCAAATACATAGGTATAGTGTTGCCCATTGAAATCGCTGAAAGTTCTAATGCGATCGGTTAGTCGGTGTATTTAGATTGATGAGCACAGGAACTTTCCTTGAGGTTAGGTCACTTGACGTGTCCTGGTGTTATGACCTTGAATTGAAAGACTTGGGCGGGAAAAATGGGTCATTTGAAATCTTAAAATGCTAGATTTTAACAATAATTGCAAACACTATCCCGGCCAAATAGTGAGTGAGAAGGGAGCGATCCCCCAACCGCATGTTTAGCTCCTATAATTGAGCTAGCTGCTAGAGCCTCGCGGAAAAAAACGAGCGCTTGCTTCGTTACGTGACGCAGCGACTGGTACCCCATTTTAAAATATCAGTGACCTCTAAGAGCAGGTCAAGGGCCCCAAGGCATCCGATCGTTTTTTTTTGGTAAATAATCACAAAAATTGTCGCATTATCGTCCTTTCGATACAATCGTGTTTTCTGTTCTCAGACGCGTCGATTTACATGCTTTTTTGTTTAGGTGAAGCAATTTAGGATGTTTACCTGAGGTCAATGTCATGTTAGGGCAACACAGGTAACGAATCTGTTGAAAGGAGGACATGTTGCATAACATTTGATTTGGCAAGTCTTGCAAAGTCCATTGATGGCTGTCCCGACTGGCTAGCTCATTTTGATCGGGAGTTATTGACGAAGCACTCCTATCACCCTAGTGACATCATAAATGACGTCACGCAAGGTGAACAATGCAAAAGTGAAGCATTAGACCTTGCCAAGAATGTATGAAGTCACGATTTGAAGTGCTTGAGAGTTGAGGTATAATTTTAGATCAATTCCGACGCCAAGACGAACAGTTTTCCCTATTATGCTTATATGACACTAAGTGCATTGCGGATTTACATCATTTTATAACCGACAACCGTGCAGAGGTTTACTTAAGACGCCATGGTTCAGTGACCTGACCTGAAAACGTGGTTGATGTCAAATGATCCGGCTTGAATCAAATGCAAGGCATATGAAATGTCAGCCTTCTATCATCAGTGTGCTTTGAGCTACCGCAAAAAAAAAAAATACATGGTGGCGGCATTGACCTCTTCTTCTCGGCCGGCGAGGGTTAAACATCGCTTCGAATTATTGCAGATAATGATGCGACCGAAAACAAAGCATTTATCTGTGTCTAGAACGGCCGCTGACTTGTTGGACAAGATCCCCAGTCTTGATTTGCTAGATGGGAATAAAATACTCGGTATGTGATACATATATAGTATATACCCCTCGATTTGCCCTCGCGCTAAGTCCATTTTAATCATCACTGTCGCTTTTTTATCCGATATGATGTCGCCGCTAAACGGGTTGTTTTGTTTGCTTGCTTGCGTTGAATGGTCATTACGGATTATTGAAGGATTGTGATAAAATAGGAATGGGGCGAGGGAGGATATGCACTGCGTCTGCAGGTGTTTGATTTAGATCACAAAGGCATCATTTCCGGCATAGTGCAGAGTCACTATCTTCCCCCTCCTCTGCACTGCGGCATCTCTGCGCCCCACACACGGCGTCCTCACTCCACGGCCGGCCGGCCGCCAACTGACCCACTCGCCGGGCGCCGCGACCTGACCCGTGTCGCCGGTATCGCTGCCGCGGCCTGCGCAATAGAGTCGGGGCTGGCATCCGGGGGTTCGGCCGGCCGGCCGCCTCTGGAGCGGGGGACTTTTTTAGTAGACCTACTGTACGGTAACCCCGACACCGGTACGGACCGTGCCCCGTACCGTACGGACCGTGCCCCGTACCCCGTACGGTAACCCCGACACCGGTACGGACCACGCCCCGTACCGTAACCCTGACACGGGTACGGACCGTGCCCCGTACCGTACGGACCGTGCCCCGTACCGTACGGACCGTGCCCCGTACCGTACGGACCGTGCCCCGTACCGTACGGACCGTGCCCCGTACCGTGCCCCGTACCGCACGGACCGTGCCCCGTACCGAAGGCGGCCGGGTCGTCAGCGTCGTCCGGCAGCGAGCGGCGGATCATGATGGTCTCGTTGGGCAGCGTCACCTCCAGGATGGCGGCGCTGGAGGTCAGCACGTCCTGCCACTGCTCCTCCTGCAGCGCCAGCAGCCTGACGGAAGGCGGCGACACGGTCAGAGTGGTGACGGAGGGACGGGAGGGAGGATACATCAGGAGGTTAGACAGAAATGAAACAGCGAGGCTTGACTGGCTGAGAAGGCACGCTGAAGTTTGCAGGTTTTGATTTGATAATGTAAGTGCACCGAGCATTGTAGATCGGAGCATATTGCTGGCACTAGCAACTATAAGGTGTCTAATAGCATCCCAGTTCGCCGTAACGTCGAACTGGGATGTTATTTACTAAACAGAGACTGTCGAAAATCGGGACCTCGCACGACTTATACTCTTATGAAGAAGTCTGTTTTTATCAAACTTTTTTGAAGGTATTGAATGACTGACTTTTGGGGCATTCCATGTAATTTTCAATGGGATGTCGCTGCGACTCCTATATTTCACAATGAACAACCAGTTCTCGCGGGTCGAAAACATTTAAATACGTGCTGACTGCTGACCTGAATTTCCTGTAGTCTGGTGAGTAGCGCAGGTATCCGAGCAGCTCCCGTATTCTGATCAGCGTCGTGTCGGCGTACTTCAGCTCGATGCCCGTCTGCCAGCAGCGCCACTCGGCCGGACCGGAGAGGACAGACGATAGCACGGCGTCCTGCTGCACCTGACGGAACGGGTGGTGTCAGATACAGACACTGACACACTGACTGATACAGGGCAGAGGACGGACGATAGCACGGCGTCCTGCTGCACCTGACGGAATGGGAGGTGTCAGATACAGACACTGACACACTGACTGATACAGGGCAGAGGACGGACGATAGCACGGCGTCCTGCTGCACCTGACGGAATGGGAGGTGTCAGATACAAACACTGACACACTGACACACTGACTGATACAGGGCAGAGGACGGACGATAGCATGGCGTCCTGCTGCACCTGACGGAATGGGAGGTGTCAGATACAAACACTGACACACTGACACACTGACTGATACAGGGCAGAGGACGGACGATAGCACGGCGTCCTGCTGCACCTGACGGAATGGGAGGTGTCAGATACAAACACTGACACACTGGACACACTGACTGATACAGGGCAGAGGACGGACGATAGCATGGCGTCCTGCTGCACCTGACGGAATGGGAGGTGTCAGATACAAACACTGACACACTGACACACTGACTGACACAGGACGGACGATAGCACGGCGTCCTGCTGTACCTGACGGGAGCGGGAGGTGTCAGATACAGAGACTGACACACTGGACACACCGACTGACACACTGACTGACACAGGACTGAGGACGGACGATAGCACGGCGTCCTGCTGCACCTGACGGAACGGGTGGTGTCAGATACAAACACTGACACACTGACTGATACAGGGCAGAGGACGGACGATAGCATGGCGTCCTGCTGCACCTGACGGAATGGGAGGTGTCAGATACAAACACTGACACACTGACACACTGACTGATACAGGGCAGAGGACGGACGATAGCATGGCGTCCTGCTGCACCTGACGGAATGGGAGGTGTCAGATACAAACACTGACACACTGACACACTGACTGACACAGGACGGACGATAGCACGGCGTCCTGCTGTACCTGACGGGAGCGGGAGGTGTCAGATACAGAGACTGACACACTGGACACACCGACTGACACACTGACTGACACAGGACTGAGGACGGACGATAGCACGGCGTCCTGCTGCACCTGACGGAATGGGAGGTGTCAGATACAGACACTGACACACTGACTGATACAGGGCAGAGGACGGACGATAGCATGGCGTCCTGCTGCACCTGACGGAATGGGAGGTGTCAGATACAAACACTGACACACTGACACACTGACTGATACAGGGCAGAGGACGGACGATAGCATGGCGTCCTGCTGCACCTGACGGAATGGGAGGTGTCAGATACAAACACTGACACACTGACACACTGACTGACACAGGACGGACGATAGCACGGCGTCCTGCTGTACCTGACGGGAGCGGGAGGTGTCAGATACAGAGACTGACACACTGGACACACCGACTGACACACTGACTGACACAGGACTGAGGACGGACGATAGCACGGCGTCCTGCTGCACCTGACGGAACGGGTGGTGTCAGATACAAACACTGACACACTGACTGATACAGGGCAGAGGACGGACGATAGCACGGCGTCCTGCTGCACCTGACGGAACGGGTGGTGTCAGATACAGACACTGACACACTGGACACACTGACTGACACAGGACGGACGATAGCACGGCGTCCTGCTGTACCTGACGGGAGCGGGAGGTGTCAGATACAGAGACTGACACACTGGACACACCGACTGACACACTGACTGACACAGGACTGAGGACGGACGATAGCACGGCGTCCTGCTGCACCTGACGGAACGGGTGGTGTCAGATACAGACACACTGACACACTGACTGACACAGGGCGATAGCACGGCGTCCTGCTGCACCTGACGGGAATGGGAGGTGTCAGATACAGAGACTGACACACTGACTGACACAGGACGGACGATAGCACGGCGTCCTGCTGCACCTGACGGAATGGGAGGTGTCATATACAAACACTGACACACTGACTGACACAGGACAGAGGACAGACGATAGCACGGCGTCCGGCTGTACCTGACGGGAACGGGAGGTGTCATATACAAACACTGACACACTGACTGACACAGGGCGAGAGCACGGCGTCCTGCTGCACCTGACGGGAGCGGGAGGTGTCAGATACAGAGACTGACACACTGACTGATACAGGGCAGAGGACGGACGATAGCATGGCGTCCTGCTGCACCTGACGGAATGGGAGGTGTCAGATACAAACACTGACACACTGACACACTGACTGATACAGGGCAGAGGACGGACGATAGCACGGCGTCCTGCTGCACCTGACGGGAATGGGAGGTGTCAGATACAGACACTGACACACTGACTGATACAGGGCAGAGGACGGACGATAGCACGGCGTCCTGCTGCACCTGACGGAACGGGAGGTGTCAGATACAGACACTGACACACTGACTGATACAGGGCAGAGGACGGACGATAGCACGGCGTCCTGCTGCACCTGACGGAATGGGAGGTGTCAGATACAAACACTGACACACTGACTGATACAGGGCAGAGGACGGACGATAGCACGGCGTCCTGCTGCACCTGACGGAACGGGTGGTGTCAGATACAGACACTGACACACTGGACACACTGACTGACACAGGACGGACGATAGCACGGCGTCCTGCTGTACCTGACGGGAGCGGGAGGTGTCAGATACAGAGACTGACACACTGGACACACCGACTGACACACTGACTGACACAGGACTGAGGACGGACGATAGCACGGCGTCCTGCTGCACCTGACGGAATGGGTGGTGTCAGATACAGACACTGACACACTGACTGATACAGGGCAGAGGACGGACGATAGCACGGCGTCCTGCTGCACCTGACGGAACGGGTGGTGTCAGATACAGACACACTGACACACTGACACACTGACTGATACAGGGCAGAGGACGGACGATAGCACGGCGTCCTGCTGCACCTGACGGAACGGGTGGTGTCAGATACAGACACACTGACACACTGACTGACACAGGGCGATAGCACGGCGTCCTGCTGCACCTGACGGGAATGGGAGGTGTCAGATACAGAGACTGACACACTGACTGACACAGGACGGACGATAGCACGGCGTCCTGCTGCACCTGACGGAATGGGAGGTGTCATATACAAACACTGACACACTGACTGACACAGGACAGAGGACAGACGATAGCACGGCGTCCGGCTGTACCTGACGGGAACGGGAGGTGTCATATACAAACACTGACACACTGACTGACACAGGGCGAGAGCACGGCGTCCTGCTGCACCTGACGGGAGCGGGAGGTGTCAGATACAGAGACTGACACACTGACTGACACAGGACAGAGGACGGACGATAGCACGGCGTCCTGCTGCACCTGACGGAATGGGAGGTGTCAGATACAAACACTGACACACTGACACACTGACTGATACAGGGCAGAGGACGGACGATAGCATGGCGTCCTGCTGCACCTGACGGAATGGGAGGTGTCAGATACAAACACTGACACACTGACTGATACAGGGCAGAGGACGGACGATAGCATGGCGTCCTGCTGCACCTGACGGAATGGGAGGTGTCAGATACAAACACTGACACACTGACACACTGACTGATACAGGGCAGAGGACGGACGATAGCATGGCGTCCTGCTGCACCTGACGGAACGGGAGGTGTCAGCTACAGACACACTGACACACTGACACACTGACTGACACAGGACAGAGGACGGACGATAGCACGGCGTCCTGCTGCACCTGACGGAATGGGAGGTGTCAGATACAAACACTGACACACTGACACACTGACTGATACAGGGCAGAGGACGGACGATAGCATGGCGTCCTGCTGCACCTGACGGAATGGGAGGTGTCAGATACAAACACTGACACACTGACTGATACAGGGCAGAGGACGGACGATAGCACGGCGTCCTGCTGCACCTGACGGAATGGGAGGTGTCAGATACAGACACACTGACACACTGGACACACTGACTGACACAGGACGGACGATAGCACGGCGTCCTGCTGCACCTGACGGGAATGGGAGGTGTCAGATACAGAGACTGACACACTGACTGACACAGGACGGACGAGAGCACGGCGTCCTGCTGCACCTGACGGAATGGGAGGTGTCAGATACAAACACTGACACACTGACTGATACAGGGCAGAGGACGGACGATAGCACGGCGTCCTGCTGCACCTGACGGAATGGGAGGTGTCAGATACAAACACTGACACACTGACACACTGACTGATACAGGGCAGAGGACGGACGATAGCACGGCGTCCTGCTGCACCTGACGGAATGGGAGGTGTCAGATACAAACACTGACACACTGACACACTGACTGATACAGGGCAGAGGACGGACGATAGCACGGCGTCCTGCTGCACCTGACGGAATGGGAGGTGTCAGATACAAACACTGACACACTGGACACACTGACTGACACAGGACGGACGATAGCACGGCGTCCTGCTGCACCTGACGGAAGCGGGAAGTGTCAGGCAAAGACTGAACTGACACATAAGATAGAAGCCCATCACTCTGTTCTCCATTTTATTCACATCCTTCTATACTCCTTTCTATCCTATCTCCCTACCCGGCTCACCTGTCTGGGCACCAGAAAGTAGGCCCTGATGACGTCCACAATGACGTCGTCGGCCAGCAGCCGGGTCAGCAGGCGCGACCAGAACCCGCTGGGGAAGTAGGTGAGCAGCAGAAGGCGGCGCACGGCGGCCAGCGGCACCGCGCGGCGGGTCACACTGCAGTGGCCGTCCGACGGGCCGGCTGAGAACGATGAGAGGAGCAGTCAGTCACGGTGCGAACTTAGAAGACAGGCGGTTGGAAAAAGAGGGGCAGATAGACGCAGTGGAAATAATATGGGGCAGCGATAGAGGCATGGTGGTGAGATGCACACATAACAACCGCTGAGGATATAATATCAATATGTGACGAGGGGCTAGGTGATACAACAGCCGGCACTAGGGCAAGGTTACACATACCGTCATCAGCTGCACACGAAGATGAGGTAAATGTATATAATAAGTTACAACGTTAACGTCAGGATATACATAAAGCAACTGAAACTTTGCTGAGCAGCATCACCGACAGGATTCCCCATTAACGCGGCGGTGCAGCCCACTAACCCAGCCTCACTCACCTCCAGCACAGTCCTGAGAGGCGGAAGCCGCCGAACCAGCGCTGCCCGCCCCGGTATCAGAAGGGAAGGCAGTCACAGACTGGGATTTCTTCCTGAGCGCCCAGCCGCGTGACCTGACGGGAATCTGAGGAGGAGGCGGATACACAGGGATGGTCATTGGTGTCAGAAGTCGGCCTGGTGGTGCTTACTAACAGAACACCGATTACAGCAGGCTAATGTGAGTTGGAACAACTGCATTGAAAGCTAAAGCCTATAAAAAATACTCCATCCCGTCTGACAAGAATGCTTTATGATGGTTGAAAAATAAAATGCACTTATCATTAGATCTGAAGATGAGTTTGTTAGACGAACAGCTAAAGGAAGATAAGTTTGGCTAGCGCCAACGCAGTTAAAACACGCAAATCAACGCAAAAAAAGAGTAGTACGACTGTACAACAAAGCATGCAACTATCTAAGAGGTTCTAGGAAGGGCCGGGGCACGCATTAGTTTGTTAAGTCAACACGGTGCCAGATACTGTTAAAGCCGACACACATGTTTGGCCGGATATCACCGAAGACCAGTTAGTACGCACGGGTGTCTGCCGCTCACAATTCGTAGTAGCCGTCAGCCGGCAGGTGTTAGTTCTCACGCCCGGAGGGCCGGTCTCACAGGGCGTTTGGACAAACTCACAAAGGAGCTAACGGAGCGATCGGAGGGCGCCAACTCCCCAAACTCTAGCGTACAAACACGGCCGGCGGGCGCTCCGGCGGCTCCGCACTGTTTGTGGGCGGCTGGCGTAGGTCTCCGGACAGTTAGAGGGCATGCTAACACTGCAGGCTGCGCGAAACAGCCCATCACACGACTCAGACCTCTGACATAAAATTGTCGAAGGTCTCAGGCCTCGGAAAGTGATGGGCCATGGGAGGTCTCAAGATTAGAAAAAAACGGCAACTGTTCTCAGGCCCCTTTAGGAGAAAATCTGAGAGGTTCCATGGAGCAGTCTTTTCCAACGGGCATTACAGATTCGACAAACGGTCTGTCGGAGGTCTCAGACCCCGACAGACCGTCCGGCACTCACTGCTCACTACTCAGCACAGTCGGAGGTAGAGCACTTCACGGATAGGCTTTTTAGGATCCGGCCCGGCCCATATCCGGCAAGTCATATCCAGATCCGCCCATTATCCGCCTTTCTTTGAATATCAGAATCCGGCCCACCCATGGCCCGTATTGCAGCCAAACTTCAAAAAATATCCGTAATAATCCGTTTCACCAATAACTGGTTTCACCCAAAACTGGACTAACAAATTCAATCTAAGGGACCAGACAGCCATACATCTCATAGACCATCATGGTTCCAAAAACCATGCATACATTGCATACATTATCCACTTGAAGACAAGTCTTGTGACAAGTGAGTGTCATAAAATGATGCCTATTACTTTAATCAAACCTCTGCTGCCGCTTAACACATTAGGTTAATTTTTAACTTCAATGTTGAATGTTAAAATTTTGATCCGTTTTGATCCGGGTTCAACCTTCAATTCCCAAATCCGGCCCGCCCATATCCGTTCTTTTTTAACAAATTTAGAATCCAATCCTATCCGGTCCGCGGATTTATCCGGCCCATTAAGTGCTCTAGTCGGAGGGTCTCTCATCTCTCCACTGCCGGCACCGTGTGACTGTGTGACGCGCGCCCCGGCCCGACCTCGACCTCTGACCTTTACCCGCACGTCCATGCCCGGCACTCCGCCGCGCAGCATCTCCTCAGAGGGCAGCAGACTGGGGATGAGCAGCGTGCGACTGTCCCAGGTCACCGCCACCTCGAACTTGTCCAGCAGCGAGATGATGTACGACTTGGCGTCGGCCGGCGCGCATGTAGACGATTTGAACACCAGAGAAAGGTCCTCCAGACGCATGACGCCTGCGGTGCAGTGCCGGAAATGGGAGCTCTGGTCAGGTCAAGTCATGGAAGACCTCAGTACTGAGTGGAATGCGAAAATAATGCGGTTAGTGCAAACAAAGGCTCAATAAAAACATCGACGATGTGAAAACAGTGAGTTGATATCAGCGAATTTCGGCTAGTCATTAAACGAAGGCCGCCAATATCTAGTTTTACGGGTGGCAAGTGCAGTGGTGCCTCAGCCTGCATTAACAATGACGGTGATGAAGTCATCCGTCATATTATAGCATTTCTGGTTAGAAAATCCGGAACAACATACATTGCTTTTTTTGCCGGATAGTGACGAATTTAAATAGTAAACCAGCCAACGCACCCACTCCTCTGAGCCACTGCAGTAGCCAATATATATACAATAGACGGCCCCCAATGCCCAAAGCTCCCACCAAAAGCAGTCGCAGCTAATGTGGCCGCCAGCCTGAGTCGCCGCACCGTACCGTTTCGGGCGAACGGGTTGATCTCCCGCACGGTGACCACGTGGGCCAGCATGTCGCACAGCCACTGCGGGTCCAGGAAGTAGAGATCCTTCAGCGTGGCGTCGTCATAGTGAAGCACCACGCCTGTGAACACACACGAGGCACGGGTCAATGTCGATTACTTGCGGTATACAGGGCTCAGGCGCCGACAGCACATCTATCGGAAGGCTGGTGCAGTTATGGATGGTAAGAGTATCATTTGCAGTTATGGAATTTCATCCTTTCGTACTGCAGCATCATCAACTACACATCCGTTTGTAGATTAGGTTCCACTTCGCTCAGCGTAGTCCCAATTAAAAATAAGATGCAGCAATAAAGACTATTGACATGCAAGCAAGACACGTCGTGGGCCAGTGAAAGAAATGTGCCGCTTGAATCGGTTATCCAACCAAGACAAAAACAATTATGTATCAGCTCGGCCAGCCCAACAATTAGCACCACAGACGCCATCACCTAGCATCAGCCAATTAATCTCGCCGGAAGACCGAAGCCACGCTCCAAAATCCAGCCGCCACAGCAGATGTTCCTCAGCTGGCTTGGTCATCCGCTCGGCCGCTCACCGTTCTCGTGAAGGAAGGCGGTGGCCTGGTTGAGCTCGGCGGCGTCCCGGAACCTCAGGTCGAACCGGGCGGCCATCTCGCGGCTGACCAGAGTGCGGTACTGCTCGCCGGTCAGCACCGGATCACGACCTGAGGGGAGAGGGGGTCACAGGTCACAGGTCACAGCTGACCAGAGTGCGGTACTGCTCGCCGGTCAGCACCGGATCACGACCTGAAGGGAGAGGATCAGAACTGAGGTCACGACCTGGGGAGGTCAGAGTGCGGCACTGCTCGCCGGTCAGCACCGGGTCCCAACCTGCGGGGAGGTCACAACTGGGGGTCAACTCACCAGGTCACAGCCGACCAGAGTGCGGTACTTAAGTCGCCATTCAGCACTGGATCACGGCCTGAGGGGAGGGGCCACGGCTATGGTTGAAACTTGAAGCACCGGGCCTTAGAAGTACCATGGATACCAATACCATCTTGCGGGTGTGACATGTTTCTGCGACGTTATTTCACCTACCCTGGAAGTGTCTCTCGGTAGCCAGGTAGGTGATGACATCCTCCAGAGCCAGGTACGTGGCAGGGATCCGCTGTTCCAGCAGGCGCTCCTTGCTTCCTGTCAAACAACGGCAAAGATTGGGATGATCGGCTTCTGATTCTTCTAATGCATTCTTTCATCAACTCTTTAAAAACATCTAAATATCTGACATACAGTACATCAACTAGTCCGGTCATGAATCTATTCAGTCCTAATTAGCCAGGCTCTCCGCTAGATAACTATGTTTGATTGTTAGTACTGTCCTATTCCAACATTCCCTGCAGCAGCTCTCATTCCCGGCCACCCGCCGGCCTGTCCCACACGTCCCGTACCTGGCGACTTGAGGCTGTAGACGGTGTCGTAGATGAGGTTACACAGAAGGCGGATGTTGTGCCTGGTCTTACAGCTGACCTCAATGGTGTCCAGGACGCGCGGCAGGCCGCACTTGTCTGCGTCCACCAGGTTAATGAACCTGCGCGGAAACAGGAGCAGCGGGTCATACTATAGGTCACGAAAGCTCATAAGATACGGATAAATCAGTGAACCGGCACCGAAAGTCGAAACACGGAGAACAGAACGCATACAAAGTCACACAACATCGGCCTAATCAATGCAATGCAAATGTGTTAACGAATCTCCGTTAAACACACAAATTAAGTAAATTTTGTGAACAGTGTAAGAAGCGGAGCGAAAGCCCAGAGCACTGTACGTGTTAACAGGTGTATTTCGGTGTTACTCTGATATCAGCTGTCTTTGAGGGCGTCCCCGTCACACTGGCCTGTCCCAGACAGTGTCCCCATTACCTACTTGTCCCAGACAGTGTCCCCGTTACCTACCTGTCCCAGACAGTGTCCCCATTACCTACTTGTCCCAGACAGTGTCCCCGTTACCTACCTGTCCCAGACAGTGTGCCCATTACCGACCTGTCCCAGACACTGTCCCCGTTACCTACCTGTCCCAGACAGTGTACCCGTCACCGACCTATCCCAGTGTCCCCCTTACCGACCTGTCCCAGACAGTGTCCCCATTACCGACCTGTCCCAGACAGTGTCCCCATTACCGACCTGTCCCAGACAGTGTCCCCATTACCGACCTGTCCCTGATGAGCTGCTGCAGGTCCTCGCAGTAGTTGGCCGGGTATCGGTCTCGGATCACGTCGTAGTGAGTACCGACGATGATGACGGGAGAGTTGGGCGCCCGGGCCTGGCGGACACAGCCCAGGTCAGTCGATCGTAATGGGTCATACCACTCATACCAAGGCTATAGAACGGTCATACTATCTAGCTACGCCACAAACAGACTAAAAAAAAACTTACGCACTTGCACACATCTCAATATATAGGAAAAGCAAAATTGTCGCAACTATATATCATACAACATGGCAAATGAAATTTCAACACCACAAAAGCGAATATACCTTAGTAGCTTCAATAAGCTTTTCTCTGCAGCCAAGTTTAATCACGCCGTTGCCGGGACTGACCTGAATGTTGACAAGCCACTGCTGTATGTTGTTGACGCCCTTCTGCCCGTCGGGTATCCTCCACACCACCAGGTACAGACTGCGCCGGGACAGAAAGTACTGGTGCGTGGCGTAGTACTCGCGCTGGCCACCAAAGTCCCACGTCCTGGCACACAGAGGGGATGGGATCAGCTGGTGGTGAGGTGTGCTGAAACGGTCAGGTACTGGCGTGTATCCGTTCCATGGCCTGTCCCACACGAATATGCATTGAGCGACAGTGACGGTACACTTTGGCACTTGTTTGAGGGAGCATCACGAGACAGATAGCTAAATGGAAGGTTGGCGAATACCACCAAATACAACAAAGCAACTTAACCAGCTTGCTAAAAGGTTTGATTTACTAGGAGGTTAGTCACACAACTTCATTATCTGGCCTGAGCATGAGCCTCCCCCTCCCCCTCCCCCATAAACACTCAGTCCTGTTCCGAAGCCAGCCCCCTATCCCTAATCGAGAGAGACCCGACGTGAACCAACCTCTTCCCGCAACACTATCCCAGCCCACACCGATCCCGTGTGACCCGTGAAGACCCTCTCCGTTTCCTCACCTGAATGTGACCGGTCCGTGCGAGCTGTGTCCCCTGACACGCTTCTCGTACACCCAATCCCCGATGTCGACGCCCACTGTGCTCAGAGTGGTACCCGTGTCCGTCTTCAGGTTAAAGTTCTTGTTACCCATCCGCTTCGCCCAGTGCTGAGGACATAGAACGCATTTAATGTGGCTGCGCTTCCAACATATAAACTGCACAGCGATACAGTTACATGAAATGATGACCAGAATGCGTGTAGTTAAATCAATCCGTGGTTTATTTTTCTAGATTGAATTTCTTTCAAACACTATAAATAAACATCGCCTAAGGAAACACGAATACTGAACACCTAAGACGGGAGAGCACAACAAGTTCACCCGTCACAACTAACCTCTGGTGGTCGTTTCTTGTAGGAGCCAGTTCCTTCTGCGCGCAGCTGCTCTAGCAGGGACGTTTTACCGATTCCCTGCACTCCGACAATCATCAGCTTCATCCGGGCGTACGGCTTGGCGTCCTCCAGAACCGACTGTGAAAAACACACAGTTGTAATGCCGGTCCTTGCGAGTCAGTTAAGAAATTTATACAAAGGTAGACACGGTCATAAAAAGTTGGCTGTTGAATTATGATCCGGAGTTCATCTACGCAAAAGGCGTGACCGTACACAAATAAGGACAGGCCCTAGATTCTAGATGACTGGGATGCAGAGACGCTCCCGACTTTCACTGAGATGATGGGTCGAGTTTAGAGTCGCCGAAATAACAACCTCTCATTCATAACAAGAGACGCCGAAGCAATGACCTCCGCCCTTCTTACCTTGAGGTAGCCGATGACATCCATCGTTTTGTACTTGTTCGAGTCGATCATGGTTTTCAGGGGCTCCTGTAGGGAGCAGCCTCGCGTGTTGAGATTCCATAGGCGACTGAGCAGACCCATCTGGGGTGGCAACTCGCAAATGTCTATCGGTGGAAGGACATTTGGCGTCAGAAGTCCGTGACAACACGGCTAATCATCACAAGTAAAAAAAAAAAAACTAGCCAGAATACCGCAAGAAGCTAGTACGTAAGTGAAGCCTATCCGTCTATTCATTCACTTGCCTTCATGCAATCATCAGTTCCTGCATCCAGTTAAGCACGTACTCCCATCCCTTGTCAGACACATAAGCTACATTTCAACACAGCCAACACACTGAAAAATGTCCCTTATGACTGGTCACCATCAGCGTCCATACGCTATACCTCCCCCGCTCCCGCTCCCCCTCCCTTCCCCGCGACTGACCGGGGTTTCCGCTGATGTTGAGCACCGACAGGTTGCTCAGCTCGTGGATGGCGGCAGGCACGCCGCTCAGCTGATTGTCGCTCAGATCCAGCATGGAGAGGTTGGGGAACATGAGCCGCGGACGCTCCCGCGGCCGCCGCACCGGCGTCTGGAGGTGAGAGGGGAGGGCTGTTATGGACACATACGGTGGGGGCTTAAGTCGGGTAAACGGGAGGGCCGTCTAATGCAGTGACGGAGGGGGGCAGACAAGCGGAGAGGGTTGTATCGATCATTTTCACGGAAGCATTATCGAGTCATCATTGTACGCAACTTACATACGAAATATTTCACGCCTCAATTAGTGTTTCGCCCAAGTTTTGAGCTGGTGCAATCTCGATGTGAATCAAGTGAGATTGGAACACTGCCGGGAGCTTCATTAGTGCATAATTTTCCATATTTCAAACCTGAAAGAACCGGATAAACCAGACATGGCCGGTTCATCTCTTACAAACCTGACCACTCTGCAGTTCCCCTATCTTTACCGCTACTACGAAACTGCGCACGTTTTGTTGGCGTAACATGCGAATGCGAACCACTAAAGTAAATGTAGAACACTCAGGGTCTGTGCATATTCTTATCAAATGATCTCCCCAGGATAAGGCACCACGTGGTGAAGTTAATGTGACGCAAACTGGCAGCAAGAAAGTAAAACACGAATCTTATCAACATGACCCTCAGAGGTGCTGTACCGGATCACGCCCAGGACAGCTTCTTCGGAGCCTCACTCTGCGCCCTAAGGAAGAAGGATGGAGGGCTGAGACCCATAGCTATCGGTAGTGTCTACCGCCGACTAGCTAGTCGCATGGCAGCCCATCACATGGCCGGCATCATCGGCCCAAAGCTGAGACCAGTTCAGCTGGGTGTTGGCACACCCCTCGGCTGCGAGGCGGCTGTCCACGCCACCCGTGAGGTGCTCACTTCTGATGTGTCAGTCCCGACAGCGGTTATCAAAGTGGACATATCCAATGCCTTCAACACGGTCAGAAGAGACCAGATGCTGAATGCGGTACGAACTCGCTGCCCAGAGGTATACCCGCTTGCCTATCAAGCCTACTGCGCTCCATCGCCGCTCCACTTCGGAGATAACGTCATCCTATAAAAAAATCATGTCAAGCTGTGGAGTCCAACAGGGTGATCCACTGGGTCCAGCCTTCTTCGCTTTGGTGGTAGATGGCTGCGCGCGATCTCTGAAGTCTCCATTGAACTTATGGTACCTAGATGATGCCACAATTGCAGGACCAGTGGAAACAGTGGAGGAAGACCTTAGAACCCTATGTACCGAACTTCCAAAGCTCGGCCTAGAACTAAACAAATCAAAGTGCGAGCTAACCACCATCGGTGGCACTCCAGCCGAAGGCCAGAGCGTCATCAGCACCATCTCGTCAGTCCTCGCCGGCATCAAAACCACCCCTCCTGAACAGCTCACACTGCTCGGCTCACCGCTACACGAGGCTGGGCTTGGCGACTCCGTCAGATCAGACCACACGACTATCAAACTGCTGTGCAGTCGACTCCGCCTCCTCGATCGGCACACAGCTCTGTTCTTCTTATCGAAGTACGTAGCTGCCCCGCGAGTACAATATCTCCTACGTTCATCGCCAGCCTATCAGGAGCCTGCAGAGCTATCCCGAATCGACAGCACAGTTCGCCTCACGCTCCAGGAAGTTGGTAACGTGGCACTGACAGACGAGGCCTGGGAGCAGGCTACACTGCCCCAGAGGCATGGCGGGCTCGGCGTGCGCTCCGTGCACGCTCTCGCTTTGCCCTGCTACTTGTCGTCTCTCACCGCTGCAGCACCGCTGGTCTTATCTATCTGCCCTTCAACCTTCACGGGCCCTGAGCTAGCGGCACTGCAACCAGCCACGGAGCAGTTCATGGCTGCAACTGGCATCGAGACTGTTCCAGAACGCCCGGCGGCCAGCCTCCAAAAGACCTGGGACGACATCGCGTCAACTGTCACCGCTAACCGCCTGATCGCCGGAGCCAATCAGATACATCGCGCTCGTCTCGGTGCTGCTTGTATGCCGCATACTGCAGCCTCGCTGCAAGCACCTCCAATCCCCAGCCTGGGACTGTACATTGATGATGAGACCATTCGTATAGCGGTAGCCCTCCGACTAGGCCTGCCCATCTGTGAGCCCCACCAATGCAAGCTATGTGGATGCTCTGTGGACAGGCTGGGACACCACGGCCTATCATGCAAGAAGAGCGCCGGTCGCTTCCCACGGCACGCAGCCCTAAATGACGTCATTAAACGAGCACTGGCGAGTGCGGGCGTACCATCGATCTTAGAACCTGTGGGGCTAGACAGAGGAGATGGAAGGCACCCCGACGGGCTGACAACGTTCCCCTTCAGTGCCGGTCGAAGCCTCACATGGGGACGCCACGTGCGTTGACACGTTTGCTAAGTCACACGTGGTGAAGTGTGCAGTGGATCCCGGCGCAGCTGCAGCCGCCGCCGAGACCCTGAAGCGCATGCGCTACGCCAGTCTTGCAGACCGCTACATCTTCACTCCAGTAGCAGTGGAGACTACCGGCGTAGTCGGAGAAGCAGGGTCAAAGCTGCTCCGGGATATCGGCGGCCGGATTTCTGCGGCGACTAAGGACCCCAGAGAAGTGTCCTGGCTTCTGCAAAGAGTCTCGATAGCGATCATCCGGGGAAACTCCGCCGCTATCCTCGCCACAGCCCCTCCTGAAGCTGGTCCCCATCACGTAGGGTGTGTCGCAGGACGCACGTCTGGCCCGGTAGAAGAGTCGGACTCAGCCGTAGACGGCGAAGTAGCTCCACCGGCTTCTTCATCAAAATCCAGCGTATTTGCGTGTTTGGCCAGCTCATCGAGAATGGGAGAAAGCTAGCCCCAAGCGACTTCGAGGTTCCATGGGGCGAAATATTTGGTGCAAAACCAAAGCACTGACGGAATATGAGTGGTAGCGTCTAAAGTGTCATCGAAATGTACCTTGTGGTAAAAAAAAAAAACGATTGACATGAGGGCGTTTGTGTTCATTTTTAGATATTACCGTGATTCAACCGACTGATGCAAATAGGTATTTTAGCAACGCAATTGTCTCTGCACCCAGGGTCTTGTCAACAACGTCATGTAACAACTTTTATGCCGGCTTTCCGTACACACACACACACACACACAAAACGTTTATTAAGGAACAAAAGATACACGAGAAATAAAGCATGATCAATGAAACATATGGCACAATGTAGCAACATAAAAGTGATAGCAGAGTGGTGCAAAAGCGCAATCGCTTAACTCGAGGCACCACTCTGAAACAAAAATAAAACATGTGAAACAACCGCCGCCGCCGCTGACCAGTCGCTCATGAGCGGTAAATTTTGGTGTTCCATCAGCCGCTCAGCCCTCGGGATTGCAAATTTTGAAAACTTTGAATGAATTTATTTGTTACTACGAAAATCTATTTGTTTTTGTCAAAAACTTTTGAAAGGCGTAAGCCATTTCTCGACTGCCCTCGCCACTCAAGCGATCTCCGTGGATAAGAATGTTCAATTTTTGGTCGGGTGAGTAATTTGCAAAATTTTCTCTCAGTATACGAGAAGCGTTATCAAATAGTGTTTTCCTTTGGGCATCATAATTTCGACAGAATATTACGTAGTGGCGGACATCTTCCTTGAAGTGGCCGCAAGAACATTCAGGCGAATCTGCTTTGTTGATTTGAAAACGATGAGAATTTAGACAAGACATTTCAGTTCTTAGTCGGGTATGTAAAATATTTCCAGTTTTTGAGCCAATTTTGTAGTAGTCTGGGGGTTTGGGCATCCCTAGTCGCTGGTTAATTTCTTTTTTGAAGGATGTATGTGGCAAGGATCTTAATGATTCTGGGAGGTGGTTCCATAGTTTGGCAGTTGAAAGGAAAAACGATGACTGATAGGATGTGGTGCGATGTGGTTGGAGTGTATGGTTCCTGTGATTTCGCAGGGTCCTTCCTGTTCTTTGTGAGCGGGTGTCCGGTATGATTGATTTGATGTAGTTGGGAGTTTTTTGCATGTGGCTATTGAGTGTATGATATAGTGTTATTTTGTGCATCTCTCTTCTTGTTTTTAACTTGTTCCATCCTAGGTCTTTTAACAATTTGTCAGTTGGTGTTCTAAATAAAGTGCCAGTCACAAGCCGAGCCGCTCTGTTTTGTAAAACTTCAAGTCTCTGTGTGTCCTGGAGCGTAATATGTCCGTCATAAACTGTGTCGTAAAAGTCAAAATGTGGTCTCGTGTATGTTTTGTAAATTTGATCTAAAATTTCTCGGGGGATGTATGGAGCAATGGAGTACAATGGGCTCATGGTTCTGTTTACCTTTTTGCAAATTTCGTTAATGTGCTGATGAAACCGCAAGTCCTTTGAAAATGTCATTCCCAGATGAGCGTGGTTTTCGTGAATGGGTATTATGTCGTCCCCAAATGTAAGAGCAGGTGGTGTGTTTTGTGGGCTGCGTGAAAATGTCTGTTGTATTGTTTTGCTTACGTTAAAAGTAATCGCCCATTCTTTACCGTATTTTTGTATTTCATTGAGATCATTTTGTAATGACGTCTGTGTTGTGTTCAAATTTTGTTTTGTATGGGATGCATATAGCGATACGTCGTCTGCGAAAAATAAAATGTCGTTTTGTGTTCTAGTAGAGAGGTTATCGAGGTAAATGAGGGCTAGAAGAGGACCCAAAACCGAACCCTGTGGGCATCCGGCGTTGATAATTTCTGTTTTTGAAAAGGTATCGCCGATCTGAACTCTCTGTCGTCTATCAGACAAGTAAGATTTTAGCCAGTCGTAAAGTGAGTCAGTGATGCCAAATTCATGTCTACATTTGTACAAAAGTCCCTCGTGCCAAATTTTGTCAAAGTATTTTGAAATGTCCAGGTAAATAGCAGTAAAATCGCTTTCTGAGTCCAATGCTTTGTATAAATTATGTGTCAAGTATAATAGTTGTTGTTCTGCGCTATGGCCTCGCCGATACCCACTCTGTTTATCTGTCAAGAGGTTATGGTGGGAAAGATGTGCATATATGTGTTTGTGGACTATTTTTTCAAAAACTTTGGACAACGAAGAAAGAAGACTTATGGGACGGTAGTTTGTGGGCTCAGATGGGGAGCCTTTGTTTTTAAATATTGGTTTGATGTTGGCCTCTTTGAATTTGGAAGGGTAAATGCCTAGCGCTAGTGATTTGTTGAATAGTTTCGACAAAGGGGATGCAATTAAGATGGCAGTTAATTTTAAAAGTTTCACAGGGATGTTGTCTGGGCCGGTAGATTTGTTGGCGTCTAGGGAATTTAGAATTTGCAGAACTTCTCTTTCAGATGTGGTAATTTTGTCCAGAGTGGGTACCGGCGAAGTGTCTGTTCTTCGAATAGCTGTCTGTAAGAGTGTCCCACTTTTGTCAGTTTTGGTTTGTCCGGCGAAAAATTCGTTTAGAAGGGTAGCCTTTGTGTAATTGTCAGTAAGTATTTCTCCGTCTTTTCCTTCAAATGGTGGGATGGTATCAGTCTTTTTGCGTCCTGTTATTTCGCGTAACGTCTGGTGATATTTGTAAGGGTCTCGTCTATGAGTTAAAAGCTTACGGACCTGTTTCTCTATATGTTGTCTCTTTAATTCCCTATTTAATGACGTCACTACGTTCCTTTGGTATTTCCAGCGATTCCAGTCGTAATTAGTGTTTGATCGTTTTGCTAGTTTGAAAAGTCTGTCGCGTTTTCTTATGCTTTTGTTAAGTTCAGTTGACAGCCATTACATTTCTGCATGCACCCAGTGCAGCAATCCTCTTTAAAGGTCCACTTCCACTCCACAGCTCCCTTACAGTTTCCACTTGCAACTCATCTACTCCCTAGTCCAAACTTACAGCTGGCCCCATTCCAACAACACAACATCTCCCTGCTCCCAAATCTACCTCCGACCAGACCCGTCCTTCCCCGGCACCAATCCTCCCCAGTAATCCCCTAGTCCTCCCTAGCCATCCCCTAATATAACTATTCTATTTGTCCTCCCTATCCCTCCCCAGACCCTAGCCATCCCTAACTCCCCTCCCCCCCCCCGTACCGTCTGCGGCGACTCGTCCAGCGTGGGCAGCGGCTCGTTCAGCTGCACCTCCCGCAGCTGGTTGTCCGTCAACACCAGCGTCCGCAGCGCGTCAAACCGACGGTGTCGGCGGTGCACGCAGGTGTGGGCGGCAGGACTGGCCGCGTCACCACCTGCCGGGGAGAGTATAAGATCAGGCGTGAGTTTGTCTTGCTTTGTTAGGTCAGGATTGTCTATCTTGCGGTACCATTTCACACCCTACGGAATATTTGAAGAATGAGGGGGAGAAGCCTGAACAGACAATCTGATGCGCCGTCGCGGCTGAGCCCGTCACGACGTACGTACAGGCCACCCAGCCCCGCTAACGGTCACCACAGCGAACCTGAGCTCCTGAGTAGCTGCTCACCTCGGATGAGGGTGACCGACTAGCCCAAATCAGTGGTTTCAAGGAGCAGAGAAGGCTCCGAGTGTCCTGAGTATAGCTCGGAGGGATCGAAGGATGACTGACCCTCACCTGGTATGCTGACGATGTATTTGTTGGTGTCGCCGGCGGCGTAGCAGCGCCGCTCCTCGGCCAGTCCGTCAGACACTAGTGCGTCACTCAGCCAATAGGTGGCAGGCTCGGGCCACTGGCTGATCTGGTTGTGGGAGGCGTCCAGCTGCTTCAGACTCGCCGGAAAGTCGCTCACCGAGCCGAGATCAGTTAGACTGAAAAATACAGGTTTCTTCAATCTCACCCAGAAAAAAAAATACTAACTGGTACCAATGTACACAAAAACACTATTTAGAGGTTCGGAGATTTTTGGCATGAAAGGCAGCCGGCGGGAACATTCAACACCTCCGTTCCGTCGCTTCCATCCTCAGGATACTGAAGTCTTTCTCCCCCACGCCGCAACCCCCACTCCGGGCTGAACAGGTACATTTATCTCATGCGGGCTGCTCCCTTGGAGCGGCACCGCTGCTCCCAAGGGAGCGCACCCCGTATCCGGGTGCAGAGAGTGCTTGGGGGGCTGGTTGGCCTGTCCATTCGGACGGGCTCAGCCCCGGCGACTCGCTAGGGTGTCTGCCCAGACCAATGTCACCCCCTGATTCCTAGCATCCATCCGGCTCTGAAATGGTCTTGTCAGACCGAAAGGGCCTAACCCAACAAAACAAAACAAATCCTTCCGTCATCACTCCAGCACTAATTCAAGATACTATTCCAAAACCGGCATCACCAGGGCGCCACTCACCAGTTGTAGGCCAGGTTGAGCCGTGACAGGCTGACGGCCAGGCAGGCCAGGCCGGTGGGCAGTCGACTGAACCGGTTGTGCGCCAGGATGAGCGAGTGCAGCTGCGAGGTGACCTGGTCCTGAGCGGTCAGCTGGTCGTCCGGTCCGGTGTCGGTGATCTCCAGCCGGCCGTGCCACAGCGTGTGGTGGTGTACCTGCCGCTGTCTGTGGGGGAGGGGAGGGGGGTCAGTGAGGGTAAGAGGGGGTCTCCACAGGGTGTGGTGGTGTATGTACCTGCCGCTGTCTGTAGACAGAGGGGTCACGGTGAGCCGAGAGGGGGTCTCCACAGGGTGTGGTGGTGCACCTGCCGCTGTCTGTGGACGGGAGGGAGGGGTCAGGGTGGTCTGAGAGGGGGTCTCCCACAGGGTGTGGTGGTGTATGTACCTGCCGCTGTCTGAGGGGACAGGAGGGTCAGTGAGGGTGAGAAGGGGGGGGGGGTCACCAGCGTGTGGTGGTGTACCTGCCGCTGTCTGTGGACAGAGGGGTCAGAGAGGGTGAGAGGGGATCTCCCACAGGGTGTGGTGGTGTACCTGCCGCTGTCTGTGGGGGACAGGAGGGAGGGTGAAGGTGAGCCAAGAGGGGGTCTCCACAGGGTGTGGTGGTGCACCTGCCGCTGTCTGTAGACAGGAGGGTCAGAGAGGGTGAGAGGGAGTCTCCACAGGGTGTGGTGGTGTACCTGCCGCTGTCTGTAGACAGGAGGGTCAGAGAGGGTGAGAGGGGATCTCCCACAGGGTGTGGTGGTGTACCTGCCGCTGTCTGTGGGGGACAGGAGGGAGGGTGAAGGTGAGCAAAGAGGGGGTCTCCACAGGGTGTGGTGGTGCACCTGCCGCTTTCTGTAGACAGGAGGGAGGGGTCAGGGTGGTCTGAGAGGGGGTCTCCCACAGGGTGTGGTGGTGTACCTGCCGCTGTCTGTAGACAGGAGGGAGGGGTCAGGGTGGTCTGAGAGGGGGTCTCCCACAGGGTGTGGTGGTGTACCTGCCGCTGTCTGTAGACAGGAGGGGTCAGGGTGGTCTGAGAGGGGGTCTCCCACAGGGTGTGGTGGTGTACCTGCCGCTGTCTGTAGACAGGAGGGTCAGAGAGGGTGAGAGGGTATCTCCACAGGGTGTGGTGGTGTACCTGCCGCTGTCTGTAGACAGGAGGACCAGTAAGGGTGAGAGGGTATCTCCACAGGGTGTGGTGGTGTACCTGCCGCTGTCTGTAGACAGGAGGGTCAGAGAGGGTGAGAGGGTATCTCCACAGGGTGTGGTGGTGTACCTGCCGCTGTCTGTAGACAGGAGGGAGGGGTCAGGGTGGTCTGAGAGGGGGTCTCCCACAGCGTGTGGTGGTGTACCTGCCGCTGTCTGTAGACAGGAGGGGTCAGGGTGGTCTGAGAGGGGGTCTCCCACAGGGTGTGGTGGTGTACCTGCCGCTGTCTGTGGACGGGAGGGTCAGAGAGGGTGAGAGGGTATCTCCACAGGGTGTGGTGGTGTACCTGCCGCTGTCTGTAGACAGGAGGACCAGTAAGGGTGAGAGGGTATCTCCCACAGGGTGTGGTGGTGTACCTGCCGCTGTCTGCGGACGGGAGGGTCAGAGAGGGTGAGAGGGTATCTCCACAGGGTGTGGTGGTGTACCTGCCGCTGTCTGTAGACAGGAGGGAGGGGTCAGGGTGGTCTGAGAGGGGGTCTCCCACAGGGTGTGGTGGTGTACCTGCCGCTGTCTGTAGACAGGAGGGTCAGAGAGGGTGAGAGGGTATCTCCACAGGGTGTGGTGGTGTACCTGCCGCTGTCTGTAGACAGGAGGACCAGTAAGGGTGAGAGGGTATCTCCACAGGGTGTGGTGGTGTACCTGCCGCTGTCTGTAGACAGGAGGGTCAGAGAGGGTGAGAGGGTATCTCCACAGGGTGTGGTGGTGTACCTGCCGCTGTCTGTAGACAGGAGGGAGGGGTCAGGGTGGTCTGAGAGGGGGTCTCCCACAGCGTGTGGTGGTGTACCTGCCGCTGTCTGTAGACAGGAGGGGTCAGGGTGGTCTGAGAGGGGGTCTCCCACAGGGTGTGGTGGTGTACCTGCCGCTGTCTGTGGACGGGAGGGTCAGAGAGGGTGAGAGGGTATCTCCACAGGGTGTGGTGGTGTACCTGCCGCTGTCTGTAGACAGGAGGACCAGTAAGGGTGAGAGGGTATCTCCACAGGGTGTGGTGGTGTACCTGCCGCTGTCTGTAGACAGGAGGGTCAGAGAGGGTGAGAGGGTATCTCCACAGGGTGTGGTGGTGTACCTGCCGCTGTCTGTAGACAGGAGGGAGGGGTCAGGGTGGTCTGAGAGGGGGTCTCCCACAGCGTGTGGTGGTGTACCTGCCGCTGTCTGTAGACAGGAGGGAGGGGTCAGGGTGGTCTGAGAGGGGGTCTCCCACAGGGTGTGGTGGTGTACCTGCCGCTGTCTGTAGACAGGAGGGTCAGAGAGGGTGAGAGGGTATCTCCACAGGGTGTGGTGGTGTACCTGCCGCTGTCTGTAGACAGGAGGACCAGTAAGGGTGAGAGGGTATCTCCACAGGGTGTGGTGGTGTACCTGCCGCTGTCTGTAGACAGGAGGGTCAGAGAGGGTGAGAGGGTATCTCCACAGGGTGTGGTGGTGTACCTGCCGCTGTCTGTAGACAGGAGGGAGGGGTCAGGGTGGTCTGAGAGGGGGTCTCCCACAGGGTGTGGTGGTGTACCTGCCGCTGTCTGTAGACAGGAGGGGTCAGGGTGGTCTGAGAGGGGGTCTCCCACAGGGTGTGGTGGTGTACCTGCCGCTGTCTGTAGACAGGAGGGTCAGAGAGGGTGAGAGGGTATCTCCACAGGGTGTGGTGGTGTACCTGCCGCTGTCTGTAGACAGGAGGACCAGTAAGGGTGAGAGGGTATCTCCACAGGGTGTGGTGGTGTACCTGCCGCTGTCTGTAGACAGGAGGGTCAGAGAGGGTGAGAGGGTATCTCCACAGGGTGTGGTGGTGTACCTGCCGCTGTCTGTAGACAGGAGGGAGGGGTCAGGGTGGTCTGAGAGGGGGTCTCCCACAGCGTGTGGTGGTGTACCTGCCGCTGTCTGTAGACAGGAGGGGTCAGGGTGGTCTGAGAGGGGGTCTCCCACAGGGTGTGGTGGTGTACCTGCCGCTGTCTGTGGACGGGAGGGTCAGAGAGGGTGAGAGGGTATCTCCACAGGGTGTGGTGGTGTACCTGCCGCTGTCTGTAGACAGGAGGACCAGTAAGGGTGAGAGGGTATCTCCCACAGGGTGTGGTGGTGTACCTGCCGCTGTCTGCGGACGGGAGGGTCAGAGAGGGTGAGAGGGTATCTCCACAGGGTGTGGTGGTGTACCTGCCGCTGTCTGTAGACAGGAGGGAGGGGTCAGGGTGGTCTGAGAGGGGGTCTCCCACAGCGTGTGGTGGTGTACCTGCCGCTGTCTGTAGACAGGAGGGGTCAGGGTGGTCTGAGAGGGGGTCTCCCACAGGGTGTGGTGGTGTACCTGCCGCTGTCTGTAGACAGGAGGGTCAGAGAGGGTGAGAGGGTATCTCCACAGGGTGTGGTGGTGTACCTGCCGCTGTCTGTAGACAGGAGGGAGGGGTCAGGGTGGTCTGAGAGGGGGTCTCCCACAGCGTGTGGTGGTGTACCTGCCGCTGTCTGTAGACAGGAGGGGTCAGGGTGGTCTGAGAGGGGGTCTCCCACAGGGTGTGGTGGTGTACCTGCCGCTGTCTGTGGACGGGAGGGTCAGAGAGGGTGAGAGGGTATCTCCACAGGGTGTGGTGGTGTACCTGCCGCTGTCTGTAGACAGGAGGACCAGTAAGGGTGAGAGGGTATCTCCCACAGGGTGTGGTGGTGTACCTGCCGCTGTCTGCGGACGGGAGGGTCAGTGACGGTGAGAGGGGATCTCCCACAGGGTGTGGTGGTGTACCTGCCGCTGTCTGTGGACGGGAGGGTCAGAGAGGGTGAGAGGGGGTCTCCACAGGGTGTGGTGGTGTACCTGCCGCTGTCTGTAGACAGGAGGGGTCAGGGTGGTCTGAGAGGGGGTCTCCCACAGGGTGTGGTGGTGTACCTGCCGCTGTCTGTGGACGGGAGGGTCAGAGAGGGTGAGAGGGTATCTCCACAGGGTGTGGTGGTGTACCTGCCGCTGTCTGTAGACAGGAGGACCAGTAAGGGTGAGAGGGTATCTCCCACAGGGTGTGGTGGTGTACCTGCCGCTGTCTGCGGACGGGAGGGTCAGAGAGGGTGAGAGGGTATCTCCACAGGGTGTGGTGGTGTACCTGCCGCTGTCTGTAGACAGGAGGGAGGGGTCAGGGTGGTCTGAGAGGGGGTCTCCCACAGGGTGTGGTGGTGTACCTGCCGCTGTCTGTAGACAGGAGGGTCAGAGAGGGTGAGAGGGTATCTCCACAGGGTGTGGTGGTGTACCTGCCGCTGTCTGTAGACAGGAGGACCAGTAAGGGTGAGAGGGTATCTCCACAGGGTGTGGTGGTGTACCTGCCGCTGTCTGTAGACAGGAGGGTCAGAGAGGGTGAGAGGGTATCTCCACAGGGTGTGGTGGTGTACCTGCCGCTGTCTGTAGACAGGAGGGAGGGGTCAGGGTGGTCTGAGAGGGGGTCTCCCACAGCGTGTGGTGGTGTACCTGCCGCTGTCTGTAGACAGGAGGGGTCAGGGTGGTCTGAGAGGGGGTCTCCCACAGGGTGTGGTGGTGTACCTGCCGCTGTCTGTGGACGGGAGGGTCAGAGAGGGTGAGAGGGTATCTCCACAGGGTGTGGTGGTGTACCTGCCGCTGTCTGTAGACAGGAGGACCAGTAAGGGTGAGAGGGTATCTCCACAGGGTGTGGTGGTGTACCTGCCGCTGTCTGTAGACAGGAGGGTCAGAGAGGGTGAGAGGGTATCTCCACAGGGTGTGGTGGTGTACCTGCCGCTGTCTGTAGACAGGATGGAGGGGTCAGGGTGGTCTGAGAGGGGGTCTCCCACAGCGTGTGGTGGTGTACCTGCCGCTGTCTGTAGACAGGAGGGAGGGGTCAGGGTGGTCTGAGAGGGGGTCTCCCACAGGGTGTGGTGGTGTACCTGCCGCTGTCTGTAGACAGGAGGGTCAGAGAGGGTGAGAGGGTATCTCCACAGGGTGTGGTGGTGTACCTGCCGCTGTCTGTAGACAGGAGGACCAGTAAGGGTGAGAGGGTATCTCCACAGGGTGTGGTGGT